TTTTTTTTTTTTTTTTTTTTTTTTTTTTTTTTTTTTTTTTTTTTTTTTTTTTTTAGATGCTGAAAATATCATATTTGTTTTGAAAATTTATCAGCATGACTAGAAAAAAAAAAAAAAGTAAGAAAGAAATATACATCACCAATGACAGTGACGATCGATCACATGCATACATACATTGACACTGAATAAAAGACCATTCGATGCTAGTTTCGCGTCTCAATAACCAAGTTTTAATGAGATATCTTGAATTCGTACAAACTTTCCATCGCATCAGCTCCCCCACACCTCAGAAATGATGAGAAAAACTGATTTTTCTTTAACATGCTTTCCCTTTTCACTTAATTAATCCGTGGCTCACACAAACAACGCTTGTGCAACAAAAAGAAATCGAGAGAAGGGAAATGGCTTCATCAAAACCGGAAGCTGACTGGTCTGTAGCAAGGAAAGGAATTTCACTGCTGTTGAACAATAAAACTGAGGAAGCCGAGACCCTATTCACCCAGCATCCACGCAGCTTCCATATCAAGGCCGGCCAGGGCTTTGTTTTGTTCATGGTAAAAGTGTTTTGTTTTTTTTTTTTTTTGGTTACACTTTTTTAAATCGTTAATGTGGACTCGTAATCATATATACATGTATTAAATAGAAATCAAGTTAATTCCAAACAAATAAAAAAATGTACAAACAGCAAATACGAAAGCTGTGATATTTTGTACTGAATTTAAATGTATCCACTTATAGAACGCGCTCATGACTTTTGAAGATGACAAGCTGCAGCAAGCGGTGCAACTCCTGCGGGATATGGAAAGGGAATGTACAGACGATATAGGCTGGATCAAGTCTATGAAGACTAGGGTCTTCGGAGATGATACTTCTAATGTGAGTACTGTATTATGCGTATTTTAGGAATTTTCCAATTGCTCACTTTCCTGTTGTTCGAGTATTATCACATATTAAAGATTGTGTTCTATAGTTTTTGACCCACGATCGCTACTCTCACTTGGTTCTAAAAAATTTTTTTGAAGGTGGAAGATGTTTTCCCTGCAGTATACAAATAATTTGTGACACTAAAACTATGTCAATGTTACTATTTGATAAAAACAAATCTTAATTATTTATTTCTCTGTATTTGTGTAGAATAAAAAAAAATTCATACATATATTTGATTAAGTTTTTTCTTAATAATTATTCCGTATAAACTTTACCTAAATTTAGTATTGTTGACTTATAATATTTTGAAAATATATAAAAAAAAAAACACGATGTAAAATTTTCTTACAGGAGTTAAATGCATAAATAATTTTTCTTTTCATTAACGTACGTAATATTTTATATTTTAAAAATAATTGGAAAAATCAAACTTTTTACCAACATTTAACAAAACAAAAAAATAAATGAACCAATAACCAATGGCATCAACATATAAGTAGGGTAAAAAAAAAGAAAAAGAAAAAAGATAAAAAACGAAAAACAAATAAGTAAGCTATCCAACAGTTAAATAAATGATAAATAATTGAAAAAAAAAACGTTCAAAGAGAAATTAAATTTTCAACAAGCTTGGATAAAAATTTTTTTTACATTTTTACCGAAATTTTGGTCATCATAACAGTATAAAAATATTATTTTACTCTACTACAGCTAAGTCGATAGATTGAACGATATGATCGTACGAAACTTAAATAAATTTGGTACCGTTATAATTAATGGAAAGAAAATAGCAACGCTCATATATAGTAAGTCGAAGTGGATTATACTTAAACAGATAACATTGTTTCTACCAAAAATTTCTTTATTAATTTAATTCAATTTTTTTTATCATCATTAATAAAATTTAGGAAAAAAAAAAATTGCACCAAGAACAATGAGTCACATCATGCTAAATTTAAATTTATATTTTCTGACGAATCGTATTAGATAGCCGAAACAAAAAGAAAAGTAACCCGACCAGCAGAGCTGTCCACATTGCGCAATCGGTACGCTTCTCTTGTTTCATAAACATACATTTTCTTATCAGCACTATAACTCACCACACTTGAATTGGTGATCATGGGCCGACCGGTTCGTACAAACAATTTCGTATGCATACAGAGCCAGGCCTTAGACTTGCATCTTTCGATCGTATATCCACATATAGTACAACGTTCGGCCTACTCTGTAATCCATCCGTGTACACAATTTATTTGAGTACATGTCTATGAATAATTTTTCTCAAAACAATGTAAATGTCCAAATACGTGCGTGTAAGTACGTATGCAACTATACAACATATTTACAGAGTGAGTACGTGAAAAAATTGGAGCGTCAAGTGGTGCTGGCGGACTCGCAGGTATGCGCGGCGTTGCTAACGCTCTTGCAACAAGAAATCACAGGCTACGTAAGGGGTGGCTGGATGCTCAGAAAAGCCTGGAGGGTCTACCAGCACACCTACAATCAGATACTGCAACTTTACAGACGCACCTTCGGTAGCGCGCCCTCTGGTACTCGTATACTTGTAAATCTATAATTATTTTCTCATTTTTTTGGGGTTCCTTTTGTTTTTTGCTCTTTTGAATAAACACTATTTTTATGTGCATTTTTATTATTGGTTTTTTTTTTTATTGAGTCACATTGTTTCAAATTTTTGCTTTAGTTTGATTCAAGTGATGCGAATGATTATGAATGTTCCCGTCTGCAGTTTTTTTTACAACTTCGAGAGAAATCAGAATTAAGTAATGATTAATTGTAATTTTATTAACTTTTTACTGACAGCATAACTTTTATCGGTGCCATTTCAAAAAATTAGGAACATTCATCACCCAAGATTCTAGTTAACTGGATTACGATCAGGTCACAAAATTTTGTTTTTAATAAACGTTGTGCTCCGTATCTGGTAATAACTTTAAAAAAGTATTGGAACGTCTTTGACAGAGTAAAGAATATTAACTATGTGTATATATTTAACTTAGTCTACGACTATTTTTTTTTATACACATAATATTAAAATCTACTGGAATATTGATACTGATCAATGAAAAATTTCAACTTTATTAAAAAAATTCAAGACTTGAAAACCAAATTTTTTTTTAACGGAATTTTAGTTATATATACTCAGGACAATAAAAAGTCTAGAATTTTTTATTAAATATTTTTTTAGAAAATGTATGTTATGTGGGAGAAAATTTTTTGCATTGACGATGAATTGAAAAAATACATAATGTTGATAAAGATTTTAAATATTGTCTTCAATAGGAAGCTATCACTAAGTATGTTTCATTAAAATTCAATTATCAGTTCCCAGTAAAAGGTTACTAATATTACAAAAGACTTTACGCTCATTTTATATTCATTCATGATTTAAAAAAAAGTTTTTGTATACATCTTGAAGGTGATAATCCATCAATAAATCGCCACAAGGTTTTCTTACAATTTTTTAATAAAGATATTTACTTTTAAGTAAAAAAGATTTCAATTTATTAATAAATTGATAAAAAGTAGCTTTTGCTTTTCTGAAAACTGAATTTTCTTGCACAAATTTTCTTAACATTCTTACAAGATTCTCAAAGCTTCCTATGTAAACGCATGGCTTTCACATTCTTTCTCAGTCCAAATAAACTGGAAAAAAAAATTATTTAATAAATGTCCATGTAATAGTAAAGTATAGAGAATGTGTCCATATTTTGACGACTAATTCCGTAAATAATCTAAAGCTTTTTTTTTACTTTCCTAACTTTTCATATAGTTTTAAGGAGTCTTTAATCACCAAATTTCTGCGGTCTACACCTGAATAGTAAACGCGAAAAAAAAGTAAAATCTCAATTGTCCACCTGCAGGTTTCACATCGATTTGCAGTACACCAAGTGGCAACGGTAATGGGCCGACTTCTCTACTCCAAAGTCCAACGAGTCCAACGAGCCCAACCTCCAGCTGGTCAATACCCTCGTGGAACGGCTCTTCGGTCGGTTCGGCCCCCTTGCCTTCAACATCGTCCTCCTCACCGTCAGGTCTGCGCAGCTCTCTATCAATGCTCTTCTCGCTCGCCGGAATCACGACCGAGCAGCAGACACCGTAATTTTTTCTTCTTAAAAAACAAACAAACAACAAACACCCCTTCTCTTGTTCAGCGCCAGACAACAGTACAACAATCACATAATACTCTCATAGCAGTGCTATGCTACTTTTTGATGATTTTTTTTGATAATGTTATTTTCTCACACACTTGCTTCGTGGGCTTTGGCGTGCGCTTTTCTCGTTTTTTGTTTGCTGAATAGCCCGTGTTGACTATTATATCTTTACTCAAACGTTATTTAAGTTGGGTTTATGTGATTTCTTGTGGTTGGAAAAACTTTTTATAGGCACTGTTGCTATTTTATACCGTATTTCAAAATTGTAAGATAAAACTTACATTTCTCAAAATCAATATTCTATAAAAAGTTGTTTATTTATTTATTCTTCTTTTTTTTCAACAACCATTTAATACGTTAGAATTGTATATTTTATTACTGAAAATAGATACATTTTTCAACATAAAATTTTATTTTTTAATACAATGCTGCATATTTTTTCACTAAAAAAATTTTTGTAATGTACCAAATTCATTATTGTCATCGCGATCAGGGTACAAAATTATTCTGATGTAACAAGGTAGTTTTAACTGCATATTGTTTTTGCTTTGAGATAAACGCATAAGCTTGTGGCTCAGCTTTGGTAATAAAAAAGAGTGAAGATGGTTAATAATTTTTAAATCGTTCAAACTTAATTTTGCTAATATATAAAAACACGTGCTTGATGGGCCGTATTTGCCCTTGAGATAAAAAAAATTAATTCCATACACGTATTTTTATTTCACAACAGAAGTGACTCTTTTTTATGGTTATCGCTAGTATGATGATAATGTAATCGTAGCACGTACAAAAAATTAACACTTTCTTTTCGCCCAACTTCTACAGTTTTGTTGAACCATCCGAGGTGAGAAGACTCATGTCAGCCATAAGTTTTGGGTACGGAATTTTTCAGCTGTGCGTCAGTTTATTGCCACCCTCGTTGTTAAAAGTCATACACTTTTTCGGCTTCGAAGGTGACAGGCAAGCCGGCCTTACGGCCCTCATGTACTCGAGGCTCAGCGAGGATATGCGCGCACCTCTCGCCACGTAAGTCAGCTCCCACCAAACTGTTTATTACAAAAACAATACATGCAAGATTTTATCAATTTCATCGCCAGATTAACGCTTCTCTGGTATAACACGATCGTACGTCCATTTTTCGCCCTCGATGGCTCGAATGTGAAAGCTGGCGTGGAAGCGGCTAAGGAACTGATTCGGGAAAGCAAGCCAGAATTTGAATACTCAGCGTTGTTTTTATTTTTCACGGGTAGAATCGAAAGGTTACAGGTACTTATCATCGGAAAAAATTTTATTGTCCCAATTACCTGTAATTCAACATGAAAATCTTAATACATCTAACTTCACCGTCGCAGTCTAATATAAACGGAGCCCTGAACGCCTACCAGAGAGCTGTCGACCTGTCAGCCCAGCGTGAAGTAAAGCTGCTTTGTTTGCACGAAGTTGCCTGGTGCCATTTAATTCGACTTGATTACGAAGACGCCCATATTTCACTCGCCCAGTTACAGGAAGAGTCTCGTTGGTCCAAGAGCTTTTACGCGTATCTTGCCGCTGGTATGTAAAAAATTTTTTGCACATGAGAAACACGTATGGGTCATAAGTCGCCCTCGTGCCTTTAACGATTTAACGAGCACTAGCGTTTGGTTGGTTCTATTAGCACGTGCTATGTGTTTACATGTATACGATTTAAGCTTCGCTTTACTTCTATCTGCCGTGAACTACCTTTTTTGATTGCTGTGTCAATGTTTGGAGAGAACGAGACTCGCGTTACGAGCGAGAGATTGTGTGCTAATTTCTTTTTCGTTCATCGAATTTCAATAGCAGATGCTAAAATTTTTTACAGCAGTAAGGATGTTGATGTGAATTTTCAACCAGTTTGGAATAAAAATTTTTTTGTCACAGTATATTATTTTTTTAAATAAATGTTGTGAATTATTATTTCGATGATCATGAATTGAAGAACTATGAATTGTAACCTATTATTAATATAAGAAAAATTCTCAAGTTAATTTAGGATCATCAAAATTGAGTTTTACATTTGTTATTAACTAAATTTTCATAAAAATTGCGTGCCTAAACTGATTCGTAGAGGAGAATTGAAAACCAACCAATTTTATAAATACTTTAATTTCGTAATGAAGACAATGTGCAACAAGTACCATAGTAAGATAATTGGTACATTTTATTTAATTTGTGATTTTATTTAACAGATAATAAATACAAAAATACCGTTAGTAAATATTACTAATCTACAATTAGCAATTACTAAACGAATGTAGAACAATTAAGTGCGTAGTCTTAATAAGTACATTTGATTATTAGAAATATAGATAAACTACTAAAGAGTTAATTCTACCAAAAAATAATTTATTTCACATAAATTTTATTCGAAATTAGTAACTTTTTTCTTGGTACCAAAAAATTCATACTCTCCAACGTATTGGTCAAATTCATCACTTATGTAATCTGGTATGGTATCCGCAGTTTGTTCAGGTGCCAAAGGAGACCTTGAAAATTTGCTGCTGATCTATAGGAAACTCGTGCTCTGCGTCGCAGGAGTGGCTCGAGAGACGCAACTTGGCCTTTTTATCTCGAGACGAACCCCAAAACTGATAGACCAGGACGTCGGACGAGCCTACCCAATTTCGTATTATAAGCTGCTGGTTTACGAGCTGCTCTATTTGTGGAACGCTTTACCCTCATGTTGCATTGATGCGTTACGCAGTATTTTGATGGGTTAGTAACTTCGATGATAGATTGTTTTTTTTTTAATGTGATTAAATGAAAAAAAAATTTTTATGTAACTTAATTGGTAGAGAAGAGTTTTCTTGGTCGAATAATCAAGTAGCATGAGGCTTAAGTCTGTATTATGTTTATCACTTATTAAAAAACAGATTTATTGCAGAACGAACAAAAACAATTTTGGTTTGTGTTGCTCACGATTAAAAAAATTTTTTTTGTCTAATATCCAACAGTTTCAATAGTGGAAGCACAATATTTCATACAGTATTGAAAAGATTTTTTCATTTGATGATGCGCGAAAAACTACGCAAAAATGTAAAACCAGAAATGAAAAACCGTATTCGTACATTTCAGAGTGCAAAAATAGTCATACTGAGGAACCAATGGACGGCTTATCAGATTTGATCGAAGGTTCCGCTTATGCCTATCTTGGAGACCGAGAAGCGGCCACGAGGAGCTATCGTAACTGCTTGAGGCGTCGACTACCTGCAAAAGATTCCATAGACCAGCATATCAGTGCTTTCGCACTGTACGAGCTCGGCAGTATCCTTTGCATGGAAAGCGTAAGTTAAATAATTAATTCTGGCTGACTTTAGTCAATGAATGATATTTCTATGTTTTATTATTCAAAAAGCCTACCACACTACTCAAAGAGAAAAATTTTCTTGACATTTCATATGCTCATTTTTTCTTTTTTTTCTCTTTGAAAAAGGAAGTATTGTATCTATTCTAGTGTTATTTTGTGGCTTTTAATTGAAACGCAATGATATATAAATAACATTAAAATTTTTACATACATAACAAAAACGTGTGAAAAATGACATATTACATTGGAAAAATTCAAAAACTACGTGTTATGTTATATCATTTTAGTTTTAATTCAAAAGGCATAAGCAGCATGACAATAATCTTTCAAAGTAGAGAAAAAAATATAAAAATCCGCCGAAAATCATGATATCGGTCTTAACCAATGTCACAACGGTCAAAAAGGATTTAGTCACGTAAGATTGTACCACTAAATTTAAAATTTCAATACTTTCAGAGTACCGTGGAAGAAGGCAGATGCATTCTTCACAGAATTCATACAGAGTACAAAGATTATGACTTCGAGAGTCGCCTAAATGTCCGAATCCACGCTGCGTTGAAAAAAGTATCGTAAACCAACAGACCAGAGTGTAACTACAGTGTGAACAATGTTTTTTCAGCGCATTATAAAATACGTAATTATAAATATANGGAAAGGCAAGTTTTCAAAAATAGTATACATAGATATTATGCATATAATCGTGACCCATGATCGTAATCATACCGTGATATTAGCTCAGTGCTTACTGCTTATTTCGAACAAGAAACCAGAGTTGAGCTCCAGAAATTGCATCATGGCAAAAAAATTCATATTGTACAAGTGCTTAAGATAATAATAATAATAATATAGCTATTTAATGCAACAACCAAAGGATCAAAATAAAAACAGTAATCATGAAGATTTATCGTGCATGATCAAGGAGGTTGCTGAAATTGACAATATCAGCAATAAATGTCTTTCTGTGTAATCCGTCTCGAACTACCAAATCACGATTGTATCTACGCATGTATATAATTATACTCGAAAGTCAGATCTCGTTAGATCTCAGTGTATTTAATCAAGTGTATGCGTGTAACCAATCACGTATTTATAAAAATACTCTTACAGCTAAAAATAAATACTGTTTATAAAATTTTTAAACAACACATGTAACAAGCTTTCACAATCATTTTATTCCTCGAAAAATTTATTTTATTTAATCTTTCATGCAGTCATGAAATGAACGTAGAAAATATTGAAGTTTTCTTTTTCTCTCTCTCTCTCTCTCTCTCTCTCTCTCTCTTTCTGTTGCCATCCGTACGCATATGACTATAGTATAGTAAAGACTAAAAAGGAAAAACAGATATTTTGAGGAAAAGGAGCCTGTATTGTTGAAGGAATTTGTGTAAAGCCTTTCACCAATTTCTCACATATGTCAAACAAATATCATAAATTTATACAAATAGCACTCACAATCAGTACATTTATACAGACATGCACTATGTAGATAAAATTAAGCCACAAATATTAAAGTTTTATTAAAAGAAATCACCTGTGTTAAAATACAATAGTTTTATTTTAAAAGGACGGGTTTAAAGAAAGATAAATTTTATTTTCAACGTAATCATCACTCAATATATTTTTCTTTGTACAGCTCTTACATTCTATTAATTATATTTCTATGTTTCATTTATTAAACCTACATAGCTCAGCGTATCTTCTTCGTTCACGAAACTTTGAAAACTTTTGTTTTCACAAGCGTTTGAAACGAATTATTCTCAGTCCCATTCGTTCATTTTAATTGCACTAAACATTTTTTAAAATTTTTTTATTCATGTTGTATTACATTTATACTGCAAATCTCACCCTAGTCCAATAAAACTATATCTCAACTGTACTGATACTATTTTTTTGTGTTATTTGTTTTTTTTTGCTTTGCTAAATGTATATACGTCAAATAATGCGGTAATTGCGAGATCGAGGCTGTTTTCCAGCAAAACTTTTTTTTTTAATTTACGCTTATTTATTTACTTATTTTTTTCCAATTCATTACTGTAATGATTTTTCTTCATTTCTCTGTGTCTTTGTAACTCTCTACAGTCAGATCCTCGTTTGTTATTTTAATACAACATCCTTTATAACATTTTAACTGCTTTACTTATCAAGAATGCAAAATTTCATTCGTTAATTATTAATCTTTTATTATTCTAGTTTGCTTTGCTTTTTCTGTAAACACAACACAATTTATAATTTATGTTTAATGCGACGGTTTTCTAATTATTTTTACATGGTATATTTCGTAAGTCCTCTCAATATCACATTTTGGTTATATTGAGGGGACTTATGAAGCACACTGAAGAAGATTCTGCGAATCAACAATTACTATTATATTTTTAGCGTCGCGATTTTTCATTTATTTTATTCAGGCAAGTATACATATTTGTAAACTATTTTTAATTACAGTTATAATTAATTTTTATTTATCAACTTTATTTTTATTTTATTTTTTTTTGTTTCTGAAAGATCTCAAATGTCATTTACTCTGCTGAAACTACAAAAAATCATAAGTACACGAGTAAACGTCAGAAGAAATAGAAACAGAGAGGCAAATTGTGGCTGAAGAGGCACGTTTCGCGATACAAATGTTGTAAATTTTTTTGTTTTTCATTTTATGTACCAAAAACTGCCAACTCCTGTAATACGATTCGGTTGGACTGCACAGTAAATATTGTTCCGGCAGATTGTATTTAGTTGCACAGACTATAGATAATTCGGAGATCAGACGTCTAACGCTATCGAGCGATCAAGATTCGTATGTGGTACCAAGCATGACGTGATATTCCTTATTCACGTTTTTTTAATATCCATGTGGTTAAAGCAAGATTTTTTACTTTTAAAATTCATTCTAGTATAGGCACGCGATAGTGTACACCAAGCAAATGCAATTTTGGTAATTTATTGATTCGAAATTTGTGGCTAATTGAAATTCCGATAACAGTTGCAGAATTGGCAATGATGCCTCTCTATTTAGCAGCACCGATACGAAGATGATACGAAGTATTTAATTGTTATGATTAATTAAACTCTTTTTACTTAAAATTAACAGACTTTGTGACTTTTCGTGCTCATTTAAATTTGTTTTAATTTATAATTACAGAACAGTTTCACTTGCTACACATGATTATTAGTTAATTGTAACTTTGAGGTCATAACGTTTTCTTATCGTTCTAAAAAATTATGTACGAATAAAAATCTATTTACACAATATTTACATCTTTTTTTACAAAAATCAATACATGATAAATTTCCTTTGAAATATACAGATCATACAAAGTTTTAAAACGAAGCAGTATATCAATTTTCCTGTACTATCTTAACAGATCACATGCTTTACATTAGTAAATAATTGAAAAAATATTTTTTACTAATACAAACATTGTTCGTACATACTCATTCATAGGTTTAGCTCACTCTTAAATAAAAACTTTTTCTGCAGTTGAATAATTAGAAACTGATAGACTTTTATTGCATTCCATTTCGTAGTAATGTTCTATTATTAGTGCACAGATACAATAATAAGTAAAGCTATACATCTTGTATACACAGAGGGTTCAGAAGAATTGAATTGCTTGTGCTTATCTGTAAAGTAAACAACATTGTTGCTAAACGTCTTACTATGTATTGAGCTCTGACAGAATAGCAAACATAAAAAGAATGTGTCATAAAATTTTTTTTAAGTCAATTAAATATAAAAGAATATTTTTATGGCAAAAAGTATGAATAATCATTAAATTATAAACAAACATTAAATCTTTCAACATCAATTAGCCATAACACTTATTTTTAAGTTCCAATTGATAGCACCACTAGTGAGCAAAGGTTAGTTGAGATTTGTGAAGGCAAAGAGTATTTTTTTTTATTCATACTTCATAGTTTTCAAAAATTATACTATACGTAGTATCAAAATAAATCACAAGTGTATAGAATAGAATATTGTACAGTTATTTACAAAGACGTTTTATATTAACGTTAAATCGCTTTTTTTCGTAAATTATTATTTGTTATTTAAATTTTGTTTGTTAACAATTTACGCTACATCTCCTACAGTTTTCGTACTTTAATATTTAACACATGTTTGTTATTCACTCTAGTCTCAAATTTTCGATTTTTTTTTATTATTATTAGAAAACATACGCTATAGTTAAAATATATCACAGATGTTAATAAAAAATTTTCTATGAAATCATTATACGAAAGGATCTTAAATCAGTTTCTATTTGTCTTATAAAACTGTTAGATTAAAATAAAAGAATTAAGTAGGTGTGATTTTCTTTGACATTAAAAATTTATAATATAATTTTCTACATTGTCAAAGTCTCGGAAGTATTTTTCCTGTGGTGAAAAGTTTTATAAAATTTCAGAAAAATTTTCTTAAAAGTTTTTGTAGAAAAAGTGACAGTAAAATTTACGAATGACGAATCTGCTGAGCTTACTTATAGCTAAATGTAACATGGCTATCATAGACTAAGATTACTACATACTTTACATTTTTCGGTCTATTGACAATTGTAAGTTATGGTATAAGAAATTTTATTGCTTTCAAAAAGAAAGAAAAAAGTTTCCAAAGATTATGAGATTGTCCCGCATCGAGTTATAGAAGTGGTAAAGAAGTACCATTTTTTCTAAATTGGAAAATCAATCCCGAGACTCCGAGCGCTTACAGATATTTAAAATTATAAGGTAGTGATAGATGAGTTCTTCTCGAGATGAGAACTATCACGTTTGTAAGTGTGTAATTCCATGTGCAGTTTTTTGTTTTTGATCGTAGTATGCCACGGAGAAAAACTTTCTGAAATAGTTTTGTTGGTTTGTTATTGTTTTAATAATTATTATAAGTTTAGGATTTGATTCCTACCTTTCTACAGTAAGCTAAACGTTTCATAGATTGGTTTTTTCATTATTTTCATCACTATCAATACTGCATGATTAACTCAAATGAAATTTTGGTCATTTTTGTACAGAAAATTGTCAAAAATTCATGGGTTTGGGAGTCTTGGAGATCAAATTATGAAATTTTTGTAAATTGGAATTGCTTTTAAGTAACAACAAATTCGTTTTAATTGAATAAATGAAGACAGATTCACTTGTATTGAATCAATATTAGCACCAAAATTTTATCAGCGCAAAAACGGTTGAGATCATTAGTTTTTCACATTCGTATAAATTTTTCTTTTACAAATTAACGAAAAGATACATAGTGGCGTTTTGTATTAAAACATTTTTTCTGTAGTCATACGCTTTAGATAAAATTGCCCTGATCTAAGTATCTCCCTTGTCAGAAAACTTTTTTTCTGTGTTAATTGTTTTAGTTTAAAAATCTTTTTCATTTATTTATCACGTGCGTCTCTTTCATATTTTTCCAGAGTAATAATTTTATTTGAAGATTGTCGTAAGTGTAGTAATGTAGTTTCGAGTTAACAAACAGCAACAAGAATGGAATTTCGTCCAAAACATATAAATATATACCCATATGATTTTACTTTATTTAATGATTCACTGACAAAACAAATTATTTTTAACAGCAATATTGTGCTTTCAGTGAAAAAATTAGTCTATAATTCGAAATAAGATGATAACAAAAATCATAGCAACCCTATCACAAAATATTTCAACATCATATAGTCTTATAATGTCTGTCATCAAATTTAACTATCTTTCACTATATTACATTCCATGGTATGTACAAGACCCAATCTACGAATTCTTTAAGCGAGTGACTTTTCTGCATGACCTACCTTTGTTTACTCTATTTTTTTTTTTTTTTTTTTTTTTTTTTTTTTTTTTTTTTTTTTTTTTTTTTTTTTTTTTTTTNATGTATAGTTCTCTGCAAAAATGGAATACCGTCGGTGGTCTTTTCCCTCTCGGCAGGTGGATTGTACGTGAAATTCGAGGGCAGCGAACGGACCTTTGTTAACCAAGAAAGTTTTTGAAGGCGAAATCCAATGTCCCTATTAATAACTATATTGTCAGGCATTCCAGTCTTCCCAAGAGTTCACGGCTGAGACAGTACAGTAACAGTACATTCTACATAATTAGGAAATAATTTTGTTTAGAAACATCCAATTAGATTTTGAACTGGGCAGGGATCTCGGCTACGGAGACAGCATATCCTTTCTGCAGCTTCACAATCCGCCTCGAACTTTGATATTAACTTTGTGTAGGCTCAAACACTCATGAAGGAAGCTTCACTTTCAATAAATCTTATCAGAAAAAAACGTAAACGCTTTTTTTTTATCGTAATGTTCAGTTAAAGATCAAGATTTCTGACACCTATAAAAAAAAAAAAAATCTCTGAATCTCGGTGCATCCAGATGTTCTAAGTTGTATAAGCACCATCGGATAAAATTCACCCTTTACTACTCCCGTCAAACCCTAAAAAAAAGAAAGATACAGAACTCTCGGACGAAACGAAGTCCAGAACACTGCAGCAAGATGGCTAATAATTAATCAACAAACAGTCCGCCAACGAATCTCTACGCAACAGCGTCATCAGGGCTAGGTGGGCTCTTTTTCCTGCGTTTCCCCACACCACTTTCAACCACTACGACGGCCTCTGGCTTGCTACTCCTCCTTTCAGTTTGGGTCTCCCGTTCAGCACAAGTGCTCGGCTCCTCCGACTCGTCCACGAAGATTCGCAGCTCCACGCTGCTCTGGCCCACGCCCACGCTCACATACTGCCGTTCATCGTCCATCTCTTGGTTGACTATTGCTACTGCTTCACTACTGCCACTCTCGATATCTCCCTCGTCTTTGACGTACAAGTTGTGACCAAAGATCTCGGGCTTGAGCGTGGACGGCCGTCGCTCGTTAATAATTGACTGGACATCGAGATCTTCGTGGCTGGTGGGCTCCGCGACCACAACGATACTCGGCGTTTTCTCCTCCTTCAACCGGTTGTGCGTTGCTCCACCAGCGTAGCTCGAGACGCTCGGTGATCTGGAGCCACTAAAATATCAGATATTTATATTATACGGTGAGCCTTTGATGGACGGATGAATGCAAGACTCGGGGAATACTAGAGCACGCGTGGTACCTAAGAGTGACGGAGTGATCGGGACGCAGCTCGAGCGTGGGTATCCTTGCCTTGATCAAGCTCACGTCCGCGACAGGGCAGAGGTAATTGCTTTGCTTGAAGCTGGTGTCCCCGACGCTCGAGGTCATCGAGTTGCAGGACGGCCTCCTCTGGACGAGCATCGACTCAATGGACGAGGGCCTCGAGGACAGTGGGGCGACCGTCAGAAAGGACCTGTTTGCCTCGGGGACGCTCGGACGTGCCAAGTGTTTGGTGCTGCCGTACACGTTGGACGCCGAGGAGGACGAGACGGAGCCACGCTGGGGTATGATGCGTGGGACGCTCAGGTTGCTCGTCGGCTTACGTATAAGCTCGGCCACCTCGAAGTGCATCGGTGGTGTCGAGAACATACCCCCGTGGCGGCGCTGCGAGTGGAAGGTTTGCCGGCGCTTCATCTTAAATTTGGAGGGCTTGGCGCTGGCGCGCTGCTGCTGATAGATCGAGCGTCGGCTGTCGTCCATCGTTGATACAGACGCATCTGTTTGGGAAGTCAGAGGTGAATGTTAGATTTTTGGGGTTGCGAGTTGGGACTTTCGATACACACATTATATTGTTAAGTGACAGGGGACAAATATATATGTACGTGGGTTGTAACGTTGACATGTGTACTATAAGCTGTTTACTAATGAAATCTGTTGTTTTCAGGTAATTTACTTGATTGTTACCAACACTGTACTCATTAAAAGTTGGGAATTAGTAAAAAAAACATCCATGACAGAGTGAGTGAAGTGTGCCTTTCTGTAAAGCAACCATGTGGTAACTTTTACATAGAGTCGTGTATCTTTTCATAATCAAAATAGTTGTTACAAGAGCACAAATTGAGGGATCTGATTGTTGTACTAACGTTCAATACTATAAACATTAAAGGTTTCGGATTTTTTTATAAAGGGTTTTAAACAAGATGTTGAAACAACATTATCGATTCATTAGTTACATCATGGGACAGAGGAATGTTTAGTTTAAATAAATATATTTTTATGGTTATTTTATTGAGATGGGTGACAATTTAATGCCAAAGACTTATTTCAATTCATAAAAAGGTATTAATAAATGCATATAAAAGAGGTAGGTTAATGTTAAAGGATTACAATTGATTTTTTTATTATTGTTGTCATACGTGCATTGTTTGAGGCAAAGGTGTTTCGTATTGAATGTGTAAAGACATCACAAATAGAGTTACAAAAATGTCTTACACTTCAACATTAGCAACTTTTATGATTGTAAGCTTTCGATGTATTTAATAATTAATCAATTTGTAATTGATACAGTAATGTTTCAAAGCAAGGTGAGAAATACTTTTGTAACTTTTTTGTTATGTCTGAAAAAAAAAAAAAAAAAAAGTAAAGTAATAGTGACAAAAAGAGTAGCAGAAAAGAAGCAGATCCCAAGCATATTTCCCTTAATGATTTTTACCTTCAATAAGATCGGATAAAGATAGCAATTTTAAGAAATGAAAATCAATCATCGAAGTCGTAAAACCATGCGCTGTTAAAATTAAGTCTGCAAAAGAAGTATTTGAGTATATTCCTGTATGAGAAGAAAGAATAATGTAATAAGAGCGTGGCTTTGATAAAAAATAAGAGCATTAGATATGTGATTGCAAAAATTCATTAGCGAACTTTAAAAAGTAACCAAAAAAATTAACCTCATATATTATAAAGATTAAAACAATAATATATTTAGTCCAGGACAGTAGTAACGTTAGTAATTTTATGTCAAAAGCAACACATGTATAGTTCTCTGCAAAAATGGAATACCGTCGGTGGTCTTTTCCCTCTCGGCAGGTGGATTGTACGTGAAATTCGAGGGCAGCGAACGGACCTTGGACAAGCCGGGCCTAGCCCCGTTGAACTCATCGCTCGCCACAAGCTCAGTGTCTAGCTCGTCGTCAGCCTCCTGTACCTGCTGCAACTCGATTTTCCTCAGCTTTTCGTCGAGAGCCTCCCTCTCCTTCCTTCTGGCGGCCTCTATGAACACCTCTTCTTCATCCTCTTCCTCGTCCTCCTCTTGGACTTCTAGCAGCTCCTCCTGTTCAGCTGCGAATTCGCGCTCGAGCTGTGTTTCCATGTCAAGCTCATCTTCCATCTTTAATAATTTGGTCAGATAGTTTTACAAGACGCGTGAGATACGGGTTATCCTAATCTCACGGAGAGCTCTCTACCCGAGGAGAGATATATTTTTTTTTCTCGTCATTGTTGACAATCTTTTTTTACCAACATGATTTTTTGGTCTGGATTAATTATTTGTCTTAAGAATTTTAAAAGCTTCTAATGCATAAGCAAATTTTTTAAAGACTTTTTGAATGCTGGTTAGAAACAGAGCAAATAGATTGATATCTATTATGAAATTTTTTTTCTGTATGAGGAAAAAATAACGTCCAATAATCTATTGACCATAAAATTAAAGTTATCGCGATATTCAATGACATTGCTCTTTTCTATCCAATATTTAAAAATTGCTCTAGCAACGAATAATTAAAGTTTATAATCATATGAAACATTGAGCTTTAATTTTCTTTAAAAAGCGACATGCCGTGCAGTATATGTATGATTGAATATATTCGAATGAAGGGGTATTGATATAATTATAATGTAATAATGTCATTCGTGGATACGGCTATGTCACACGAACACGATGCAAATCTTGGTATCTTATTTAAAAGTTGCAGACTCGTGATTCAAAAGTTCGGACGAAAATCCGTTTGAGAAAGAGAAAAATAGCAGGAATAGCAAAATAGTAAGCCAAATAAATAAATTCAAGAGAAGCTACGTTATGTTCACCTGTTTGTGGCTTTCCTCGAGATGTTTCATCAGCACAGCGACCACGACATTGACGAGCACGAATTGCGCCATCAGGACGAAGATGACGAAGAATATCGGTGCTATGATGCTGCTGACACAGCAGTTCTTTACACAGTCGGCGGCGTCGTCGCAGTTGTCGCGCAGCGTGTCCTTCATTATTCCGTTCCAGTTGTCGCCAGTCGCGACGCGAAATAGCGTCAGGAAGGCCATGCCGAAGTTACTGAAGTGCGCGTGCTCGCCGAGACCCTGGCAGGGTATCTCGTCGCTGCATTCTATTAATTGACGTTTCATTGGTACCAAAAGAATAATGGGTTTTTTTTATATGTATTAGTATTTACCCAGTCGTCCGAAAAGCTCAACTCCGAGTGCGGCGAATATGAAGAACAGTAAAAAGAAGAGCAGACCTAGATTGCCCACTTGAGGAAGCGCTTGCATGACAGTATCCAGCAACGCACGAATGCCCTTTGCCATTTTTAACAACTTTAATACTGAAAAGTGGAGGGTTATTTTTAAATTTTGAGTGAATTATTGCGTTGATTAAAATGGGGTGAATGAAAAAGAAACTGACCTCTTGCTATCCTCAGTACTCTCATAACACGGATGATTGTCGGATTAATGGGAATGATCTTCGACTCGACCTCTTCCAAACCAATACCCACGACCGAAAGGATGACTATTCCGACATCTAACTGATTCCACCTACGTAGCGAGCGATAAAACGACATAGTTAAGCATTAGTGTCCGCGATACGCGTGTATGGACTATGGATGTGTAATAATATTTTACTGACTTGTCCTTTAGATAGAGATGGAGTCCGAGCGCTAAGAGCTTCATGAAAGACTCGAGGATGAAGACGGCCGTGAAAAAGTAATTGAATATTTTGAGAGCGTAGGTCAGGGCCTTGGGCATCATGTAAAACTCCAAGGCCATCGTTACGACGTTCAAGCCGATTACGGCGGCTATCGCCAGGTCGAAGTACTTTGACGTCACGACGTTGTGGATGAAGAGACGCGTTTTCGAATAATTTGCGTAATAAGGTGGTTCGTGCATTTCTGCAATTTTAAGGACATATTAGTGAATCTTTTCATGGTGGCAAAAAAAATTGGTGAATTTGATGATGTAGTTGATAGAGAGAGAGGAATGATAAAATAAGGCTTAACAATGACAAACAAAACTTCGAATGAAAAATGCATTTAAGCATTCAATCATTTCGAGGGTTTAAGTATTGTTGATAAATAACTTTTTCTCTATATTAAATAATAATTGAATCCCCCTTATTACGAGGCTCGAATGATAAAAGTATCAGAGTTAATTTACTTCTCCTCTTTTTCTCCATCTGCAGGGCACGCTTGGCAGCTCGTCTGACTCGCTCTTCCTTCTCCTGTTCCTCCCGGCACCTGTGAAAATTTTCCACGACTACGCCGACAAACATGTTCAGTACGAAAAACCCGACTAGCAGGATGAAGGCAATAAAGTAGAGCAGTCTCCATTCGGAATAATTTTCGATGGGCTGAAAAAGAAACGAAAACGGCCCAGCCGCGACAACCGCTAGTGTCAGTTCGCATAAAATGCAAAGATATTCAAATTAGTTTTGATTCTCAGAGGCTTGCATTTGAATTGAAAACTCGCTGATTATCAAAGTCACCAGTGGATAAAGTATACAGTTATTATCAGCCTTTTTTGATTAATTATACATTTAGTAAGTTTTAAGTAGTTCAAACCCGATATAGTCAGACGCGAATAATGTAACTGAATTAAGTTATATTCTAAAATTTTATTCTTACTTTGCAAATGTAATAATGATGAATTATTGTTTATTAATGAATGATTTAATAACTCTGACAGAAATATTATTTTTATTACAAAAAAATCATAGTTGAGTTTTTAAGAATAAAAATTATTTATTTAATCACAATTTTCCTCGAAACAAAGATATTTCGAAGAATTATAGTAATCTGCAAAAAAACAGGCAAATTGTCTTTACGTCTATGCTGATAGAGTTTAATAGTGAATAAAAGTCAACTCTTGTGGAAACAGTCTATAAGTTAAGTATCGAGGTAAGCAAAGTCAAAGACTGAAAATATACCTGTTGATCAACGCCAACGGCATCGAGGCCCGTGTACATAATATTGACCCAACCGTCCCGCGATGAGAGCACGAAAAGCGACATCAGTGCTTTACCCAGATCATCGAAGTTGTACTTTCGGTTCAGCCAAACATTGCGCTTGTCTGCGAGGCAATCAGTTTTGTTGCGCACGTTCTTGATTTCCGGGCCCTCGCAATAATAAAACGCGCCCTTGAACAGCTGCACGCCTAGTATGCCGAATATGATGAAGAAAGTGCAGCAAATAAGGACTATGTTGCCGATGGGTCGCAGAGATGAGAGCAACGTCTGGACGACGAGCTTCAGGCCGGGAGCTCGATTTATTACGCGCAGAGGTCGCAGAGATCTCAGGAGTCGAAAGACCTGATTTTTTTTTAATGTTAGATAAATGTTTCATATTTTATTCATCAAAAACAAAATTTAGAAGAAATATGAGCGTATGTTTAATGATATTCTAGCTTTTCATTCCTTCATCAGATTCAATTTTTTTTTTTTCATTAATTCATTTATTCTATTTTAATTTTAACTTAGCACCAGAGTTAAATTTTTTTTTAAAGTTAATGCGTAGCAGTTTTGTGAAAATTGTGTATTAAATTTTCATTTGTATCATCTCACGTTTTAAATTATAGCTTAGTGAACTTCTGTGATTACTTACTGTAAATGAAATAATTGAAAAGAATTGTAGATAAGCAATTCATCACGGATTCTTTGACAAAGAAAAAGAGAAAAACTATTCTGAGTGTAATAATAAATCAAACTGAGGCTTTTAAAAGCTCCGAACAACTGTGATAATGGAAGAACTTTACGCGATAAGTGATTGAATAGACTTGCGCTTACCCTTAATATTCCGAATATCCTCGGACTGCTTGAAGATAGTACGGACATACCAAGATCGATTATAGAAATTACCACCAGCGAGCCATCCATTATGTTCCAGCCTGACGTAAAGTAAGCGTTCGTGCCATAAAACATTCCAGTTGCAACGACCTATAAATGGAGCGAATCATTAGCCTCGCATAAGCGGACAAAAGGGGGTGGCTGAGCAAAAAAAAAAAAAAAAAGTTGACGCTTCAATGGTCCACTTCAACAACATTTTTATCGCAATTATCTTTGAAAAAAATGAGTGGTCTTCGTTCGATAATTAAAAAAAAAGCTGTTGAATTTTTTAATGTTTTTTTTATCGATCGATTTTCACTTAGATGCATTCTAGCTGTACATCATAATAGCTGCTCCGATTAGCCGGCAGTTATAGTAAAATTTTATTTTCGAAGCACGTAATTTTCGACTTTATCATTTTTAATCATGTGAAATTATATATTCGCAATAAAAGATAATGGTTGCGTTAATAATTAACGCTTATCAATTACCAGTGATTCTGTTAAATTAATTTCTATCGTCTGCATAAGTTGTAAATTTGTAATTATATTCTAAATAATATCACTAGGTAAAAATTAATAATACTCATGATAACAATAATTACCTTAACAAACATTTCGACAGCAAAAACTACGGTGAAAACGTAATTGGCGGTACCGAGAAAAATTCTCTCTATACTGTCAGGTGGAATGTTTGGTCGTTCCATTGCTAATGTTATGCAATTTAAGCCAATGAACAGCAGGACCACATTGTCAAACCACTTCTGATCAACGAACCACTGGCAGAATATGCGAAATCTGCTCGAAAATCAATTTTACATGTATCTAACGTCAACTTAAATAATTAAATGGTAATCAATCATTATAGTCAATAAGTTTTAAACGATTTTTTTCATAACAAATTTCATATCACTAACAATAATACAAAAATTTAACCTAAAAAGTACTAACTTATTATTCTGGGGGAACAAGTAGAGTGAGTAATCATCACGTTCTTTGAGGCAGCCTTTGGGCTCAAAGAACATAAAAATTTTCTTGATGCGCTCGATACTGCCAGCGCTTTCGTGACCGTTGGACGGCGGAGTCTGGTCACCAGCGATGCCAGGGTGCAGATTCGGTTCAGTCTCTTCCTCGGGTAGACGCTTGATGCGAGGCAGAGGTCCAGTGTCAAGGTTTAAATTATTGATGGTACGAGGAGTAGATGTCAGTGGAGGCGCTTCGTCCAAGGGGAGGATTTTGCGAGGGGACAGGCCCTCGTATCCTCGCAATGAGTTCCGTCGCGATAAGTCGTCCGTCCAGCGCATCTTTTGAAATAATACGTGAATACGGAGGTTTTTATTTTTAACAAGAAAGGAAATTTCGGTCAAGATTTTAGTAGCTATGCGTAACAGTGAATAATAGAGTATATCTAGTAATCTAAATAAAAATATTTAATTCGCATTATTTTTTTCTTTTCTTGTTAAGTAGTTAAAACAATTACAATAAACTTATTTGAGTTAATGTAGTTGAACATAGGTAAAGTCATGTAATTATTCTGTATGTATTTCATAAATTTTGGTATTGAAATTCACTAATTTTAGAAAAATTAGTGTTAATACATTATTGGTATATTTGGTAAAATAAGTAGTTCGAGTCCATATATGATCAGACATCGAAACGAACCATTGTAAGTAATTTATTTATTTTGTAAATAAGGACTCTATTGGACATCTATGTTTCCTGTAAAATAACGTAAGTCGAGGTCATCAATAGCATCAAAAAAATGACAGATAAAAATAATGTTCTTTGCAAACATAAATAATAAAATTTATACATTCTTTTTAGAATACATTAGTTATTATTCATAGCACAATTAATATCTCAGAAAATTGATCAAGTAGAATAAATGGTTTAAGTCAACATAATATCAGCCACATGTGATGATATGTTTTAAAGGTATTTGTTCTGTTTAACTATAGCTGCTTTAATTTCTTCATCTTTAAAGTAAAAAGTGAATATAAATAAGTAGTTTTTATCGTTTTCTCACATTCGCGAATCAAATTATTGTTGTAAAATATGAAATTTCATATGCTTAGTGAAGACAAAAAAAGCACAACTGCACTGAATTCCTTAATTTTCATTCAAGTTAATTTAAGATTTTAAGAAATAAGTAGTATAAGTCAACATATAGTCAGACTGTCCGTTCTTGAAAAATGACAGAGTTATGTGCTATCTTAACGAGTGTATACTTATATTGTGGTACTCTGCTCTACTGCATATTATTTTCTGAGAAAAGTAAGTAGTTTAGGTAAAAATATCGTCAGACAGTACGTAATAAATATAAGGTATACTTTTGAAAGCAACTAAAGCAGATAGATAGAAAAGTAAGTAGTTTAGGTAAAAATATCGTCAGACACTACGTAATAAATATAAGGTATACTTTTGAAAGAAACTAATGGGAGATAGTTAGTTGATATTAAATTTACTCATTTAGCAAAGAAATTGATTACACCTCATCACACTTTGAGAGTTAAAATATAACACATTTTGTAAAAACATGCACTGATGTTTAATGTCAGATTATTAAAGTAACTATGAAGAGTTGATTCAAAGAAGAAGTATTTTGAATCAATAAATCAACATTTTGACGTAGTACATTGAAAACTTCAAATATCATTTATCTATGACAACCAATTCATTTTAAAATAATCAGTTAAGATGACAGTGTGTTTTGTAAAGTTGGCGGGTTAAATCAATATAACGTTGGCGATACTTTATGGACGAGACTTGACGGAGATAATAAATATGTGCTGTTTCTGTCCACATACCCTAACTTACTTTTTTGAAAATTATATAATCAAAGTTAACGCAAAGGATCAACTCAGTAGAATAAGTAGATGAATTTAATATATCATCAGACAATACGTTAAAAACATGAAGTGAAAAATTTTATGACAACTTACTGACATGAAAGTTTGTCATGTTTTTATAAATGAACAAAAGTAATTAAAAAAAAATCTCAGAGTTCAACTTACCTGGTTTGGAGTAGGTGTGTACCTATGGATAGAGGATCTTCGACTTCTGATGGAGTTATTGGGACTAAGGCTACAATTGTTTGTTGTAATGGCAGTTGTACGATTATTCGGTGCATCGCGTTGAGTATCGTTCCTTATGGAACCGTGAAGATACCCTCCATTATAATTTGTGTAATCCCCACAACTCCTGCAAAAGTTAACAAGTTTATTGCAATTATTAAATCTTTTCTTCGTTTGATAACCCCTCTAGTTGACAATTTCCATAATATCAAGTTTTAAGAAATCCAATGAATTTATTTAAATTCATTTATGGAAAAATAACTTTTTTCTGAAAATATCACCCTTTGCACTGAGCTTACGAATAAGCTTTAAGTTTTACATGCATTAACGATACACAGCGATCGATTTTTCCAGGCGAGATAAAACTGGCCTCGAGCGTTTCGATGTCAACTTACAATTCCCCTCCAGACGATAGCGGAAGCGATAAATGTCGATCTAGGCTAATTTGAAATACAAAAAAAGTAAAAAAAAAGGGGGGGGGGGAAAGAAAGGATCGTTTGAAAAAAAACTCACAAGGATTTGTGGCCAACGTTGCTTCGCCCATTATTAAGGACCATGGCTCCCTGCCCCGGTGGCTCTTCGTCCCACTGGGACCATCTTTTCCGTCTCAAAGAAGGCCTTGACAGGCGCCAAGAATAACCCCGTCGAATTCTCGGTGGACTGCGTGAAACAGACAACAACAAGGACCCCACTTTCAATGATTGTTTCAAAGATAATTAATGGTAGATCTCTTTGACTGAGCTTATAAAAATATTTTACAATAATTAAGCATATTAATGGTATTGTTTCCAAATTTTCGATTTCTTAAAAAAATTATTTTTATAGAATCTCAACAACATTATAATAAATGACACTAGATTTTTTCGCACATTATTTTTTTTATGAATTTTAATATTTTACGAATAAATTTTTATTTTTTTCTCCAACGATCCCACTGCTACTAATTATTTGAGTATTATTTTTAACCAATTTTTGTTGAAGAATGAAAACATCTAATGTTGTCAGAGCTCAAGGAAAAGAAGAATTATATGGACAATGCAAGTCAAATAAAAAAATTTTCTATGATTTTTAAAGCACACATTTATACCTAGAACTAGAAGGTTCCCTTGATGAGTTGGTATTGACACCTGTATTGACGAGACTGATACGCCTCGAAGAGTGACTGATTAAATTGTTTGTAGTATTTCTGCTGTTGTTGTCCGGTGGCTTCAAGAAACCTGAGTAAACACTGCACTGGCTCTGCATTTTAAAAATTAAATTGGTTTGATATAAAATAAAAACTTTTGGCCAAAAATGAAGAGTAAAAAAAAAGCTTACAGACGATCGATCGATTGACTCGATCGATAGAGTTGTGGGAAAAATCGCCCGAAAATTGAGATCCCGGTAACCAGTGTCAAGAGTCGTGTTTGGCGAGTCCTGAGGCGTGGCTGCCGTGTGAGTGATTATCGGTGGTTGGGGTCCTGCCATCATTTTGCTCTCTTTTTGGATATTGCACTTCGGCTCGTCGTGGAGGCCGCGCTTCCAAGCCTCTCTGTTTTGTTTCTCACGGCTATAATTGTCTTTGTACTTGCGCAGATCCTCGCAACTCTGCCAGGAGTTCTTTTGATCCTTAAAAGTATTTATGTTGAGGATTTCACAATACGCGGTCATGAGCGTTTACTATATTGATGGGCTCAACCCGACGCGTGGAAACAAAACAATTTGCAACTTTATTTACTAAAAGACAGTCTTATAGAAAACAAAGGAAGCATGCGTCTAGCATAAAGTGACATTGAACATGACTCTTGGACTGTCACTCAATATGATTAATTTATTTGTTATTGCATTTCACTTTTATCCAACTTTTAAATCTTATTTACGCTACACGACGTTTTATTCGATAATATGAAAACTTCACAACTGATGTTATTTCACGTATATTCCAGCTTTGTGCACTCATAAATATTAACGATTTATGACGTGTAACCAGGACTTCAGAATAAATGTAAAAAAAAAGCCTATTTAATAATCTTTTAACTGTATAAAATTATCAGCAATATAAAAAAAAGTGTACTATTAACGTAAATTCAGAAAAAAGCCTTAGATACGGCACATCCTATATTTTTTCTTACCTGTGTGTAGGTATCACTGTCGGAAATGGAGTGAGACCGTGGCGATCTCATGGATCCCTCATCACTGCCAAGGCCAGCCTCCTTTACCGCGAGCCTGGCCAACTCCCTTTGCTCTCGCTCGCGCCTTTCATTCCTCTAGAATCACATGAAAACAGCTTTCACAAAAGTAGAGCTACATTTTCATTGATGTTCCCAGGGAAATCGTGTTATTTCATTAAAAGCTTTATTTTCATGTAAAAACGAAATGTGTTTGAAGAAAAAAGATTTTTAATTTCAATGATGGTACATTCTTTTACTGCTTTCTCATGACCGTATGCACATAAAATTATCATCAGATAATTACCAAACTATAATTATTTTATCCAAAGTATGTAATAAATATTTTTTATACTTTTGTAAAAGCTTTAAACTAATTATGATTTTTAGTGCACATACTTAATAAGTTGGATAAAATAGAAAATAAATATAGTGGCCTTACCTCAGAGGAAAAACCCTCAACCAGAATAGCGACGAGTAAATTGAAAAGTACGTAGTTACCAAACGTCATTAAGGCAACAAAATATAGAGCTGCCCAATGGGTCGTTTTCTGCATTCCATTGAACAAAACGACGTTCCAGTCCTCTTGCGTGAGAATCTGGTAACCGAAGAGCGGCAAGGAGTCGATAAAGACAGAAAAAAATGTAACACAAGAGTTAAAATGGCTTTTTACTGGCTCCCAAAGCTCGATTTATCTTTTTTTTTTCTTTGAAGCTTTTTTCAGATTAGCCCACTTCTTTTGCCTTTGAACAGACATTCAAGCAAAAATTCTTATTTACAATTATAAAAGATAAATCCAGCTTGAACTATATTTGTATACAATAGACGCATCATCGTCGGAGAAATTTGAGATTGATAGAAACAGAAGTTCTTGAATAATTGCACTTTAAATTCTTTATTGTAAGATGTAATTATGTAATCTTAAGAACTACGATTCGAGCGAAGAAAAAGATTATTGTGATTTTAAGAAAACTGTATAATAATAGCAATAATAAAAAAAGTAATAAAACATAAGCACGATTAAAATAGCGTTTATTTACAAAGCAGACTTCAATCTTTGTATATGTAGAAAAAACTGGAATTAAAAACTTTCGTACCATTCAAATCGTAAAATAGCGAATATATGTACAAATGTATTGCTGTGAGAGAGACTTTATACACATGTAAATGTCGAACTATCTCATTGTGATGATAAAGAGATAATAATAATAAAATAAAAAACAGTACAGAAACGTAGTTGTGTTTGAGGAATACCACCTATGGAAAAGGGTAATTTGTTTTCATAAGTATACGTAAGTTTCAGCTCTACGATAAAACAGGGAAAAGCGCGATGTCGTTTATGTACAATATTGTCATACATGGAAAACTAATACACAAAAATTTAGCTCTGCTTTACATAAAGCACTGTACAATTTTGGCCCGCACATGTTTTTAAAATGTATATATACACACGAGTGTCGGTTCACAGGTTTTTGTAGCCTATAAAATCACGCCTGGTGCTTTCGTTGTGCTACAAAATAAACATTATTATTTCAAACTTCATTTACGATAAATTTTTATTTCATTCAAAAAAATAACCACCATAATATACGTAACGTGCTATAAATATTTATTAACAATATCATACTGACCCCGTAACGTACACGCACATGCTCAACGAAACCACCAGGTTTCATTTGTCAAGGCGTACACAAATAGACAAAAAAAATTTCCACTAACTAGGCAGTAGCATAAAGTGTGTGAGATAGGTAGTGTGAGGTAATAGTAGTGGTAGTGGTAATATTATACAGAGGAACTGACTGATTCTGCCATGTACCGTGTGCAAGTGGATGGATGTAAAGACAAGTGATCGAGTGGGCTGAGTGAGAGAGAGAGAGAGAGAGAGAGAGAGAACAAATAGAAAGAGAGTCAAAAGGGATCAGTGATACCTGAAAGACTGTAACAAGTGCCCAGACGATGTCGTTGAAATGTTTGCGATCACAGCGACACAACGGGTGGCGCGAGACAACCTCGGCACAGGTGCAGGGCCGACTCCGGTCTGCCCACATGCAAAACTTACCCCCGAACAGGTACATCCCTAGGATGCTGCAACCGAGATACACAATCCCCCAAGGCCTAAAGTACACAACTATTTTCTTTCGCAGAAGCAGAGGAGGAGTAGTAGTGGTAACAGTTGTAAGTAGTAAAATAGTCAATGAAAGAAGAAAAGTGTCATGGCCGATGAGTCAATCTTTTTGCTCTTGTTTTTTTTTGCCTTCAATGAGTTTCAGAACTTGCTCACGAATTTTAATTAGTTAAATCGGGTAGATGGCCCTCTAGGCAAAAATTAAGCATTATTTTAAAAACTCTATTAGTAAAGTTGATACTTAAACAAATCTATGTAATTCAAAAGAGAAGTGTATGATTAATTCAAAAAGTATTTGGTTCAACTTTGGCATTCCTTATTATTAGTAATAGTAGCTATTAATAATCACAAAGATTACTCTATTGATTCCATAATTTTTTTTTACGTTATGCTGAGTTCCCGTATGAGTTTTTAAAAATATAATACACGTTGATAGATACATGACATTGATATTACAAAGACAAAAATTTTTTAACAAATATTTATTCAAACGATTGCCCGTAACTTATTACGTGCTATAATTTTTTTATTTCAATTTTGCCTATTGAAAGTATTAATTCAGGCGTAAAATAAGTTTTGGTAAATTAAAACCAAGTCTCAATGAATAAAATTGTTATGTTTAAATCGTTAAGACAATTCAGAGAAAAAAACAAATTGGTTATATGCATCACCTATGTATGTATATTTTTTTAAACACATAAATGAGTTTGGTAAAACATTAAGCTAATTTTGTTTACAACTTATCCTCATACAAAGCTATTTTCATGTAGGGATCTTTCAATTAATTACTAGACGGCAATTATTTTGATTATATAATGCATGCTATTACTGCAATCTTGTTCCATCCCTATTATAAATTCATACGTAGTTGAATATAATCAATATTATTCAGTTTCAATCTCGAAAGGCCACGCGTGCGTCTATGGCAATCAAATCAATAGTGTACAATTATATAAGACTGATAATTAAAATTTAATAAATAGAGAAAACTACAATACAGTTCACATCAATTTATTTATTGAAATATGTGACATTATGATTATAATACAATATTGTACTGTCTTTAGAAAAAGTTTAGATAGTTTTGTTTATTCAATGAATTGAAGTAGAAAGCGTGAAATAAAATGTACATTTGCAAGGCTTAAATAAATATTTTTTTTAAAACCTTGCACCGCTCATGAATGTATGTGAATTCAATGTCACACGTATAGTATTGATTATAACATGAATGCACGAGTCTCGTAATCAAACTATAAAATACAGTCTCAATTTTAATCGTTTGACGGAAATTTATTGCAGTTCTGGAGATTTATTGTGATTATTTTTATCAGATCGCACAAAAGCGTATAAAAAGAATTGGATAAAGTGTCTCTTTTACACACTACGAGAATGACTGCAATACAGTTAAGACCGTAGAAAAATGCTAATGTGGCCTTGCCTTACAAAAGTTTACCAAACTTTTCCAAGTAATCCGGAGCACAAAACAAACGCATACATCAATTTGGGCGGAAATTCGTGAGCTAGTTTAGCAAGTGAAACTGAAGGGAAAAAAACGTCTTTTGAAGTGAGAGCAAAATATGGTTGGTTGAGTTTGTTTGTGAAGTTTAAAATGTATCACAAGTAAAAGTTTTAGACGATTGCGTATTTGGTAAAAGCGAAAAACACAATTATTCAATTGCATGTGTAATAACATATATTATTTACATTTGATACATGTATGTAACATAATTCTTTTGAATTATTCTGCTTATTTGCCTGTTTTTTCTGATGATTTATTTGCTGTAATTATTGTATTTATCAATTGTATGTTAGCAAAATACACTATAACTATGTATATAAACATAGTAAAATAAACCGAGTACAATACGGTAAACCTTAAATTGCAGAATGTTAAACTGTAACTATCAAGCTAGTACGAAAAGTCAACTAAAAATTCCTTGGAACATGAGGTGTGTAAACAAATATAATGTAACAGATTTTTTTTAAACTTTAATAGTTTATGGATTTTACTTCTCTGCCATAAAGTTATTTCTAATTGTTATAACTTCTTTGTATATTTTCAAAACAGAAATTTAGATAAAACTGATTCACGATCTTGCAAAAATTTAAAATATTTTTTCAATTAATACATGAAATCTTGCTTTCATAATCATAATTTAAAAAACTTTTGAGACATTAATTCACAAAACTTAAAAAGAGAAAATGTCATTCAAATTAAATTTTTGTCAGTATAAGTCTATTTAAAAGAAGAAAAAATTATCATAATTGACTTTTTTTTAATTAGTAAGGCACTTCTAAGTAATAATTGTCCTAAACAAAATTTAAAAATTATCACAGGCGAGAAAAATTCTTGTTTAAATGTATAACATTTGTATGAAATGATGGAAAAAGACTTATTTTCTGTTTTCCACTGTATGAAGTAAAAAGTAAGTATATCTACAACGTTTTCTTCTCATACATGTATATCATAACTAAAATTAAATGATACATGTAGTGTGGGGTAAGTATTTACTGCCTTTTTTATCGGAAACATTGTGGTCAGAGTGCAAGGATGCTTTTCAATATTATTTAAAACTTTATCTTCTTTAACCTTTCCACTATAGTATTAAAAACATACAGCTTTTATCCAACAAAACGTCCTTTTTTCGTAACACTCCGATCAAACAAGTTTAACTTATGTGAATGTTTCGTATAAAAAACTATAGCTATTCAACTCAAGTGTAGAATCTCTAGCTACCACCTACACGGAAAAAACATTTAATCTTAAATTTGTAACATGTGGTACTGTGACTATCATTTGTATGGATTGGCTGTATAACAAATGCGCTAGGCTCTTAGATTAATTATTTTAAGGATATCATTAAATGATTGTTTTTTTAAAGAATAGACAAGGGGTTGTAGAGGAGGGAGTCACTATACAGAGCTTAAATGGTAAATTATATTATTTTAACGTGATTTTTGGGTATGACTACTGTACAAGAATACCTTACATTTTCACTAGAGCAAAAAATATAACACCTCACACTTTTAGTATTTTTGCTGGATAACAAATTTTATAATTTACTTTTTAATATACTTTTTTTTCATAATATACTTTTTTTTATAATATACTTTTATAATTTACTTTTGTTAACACGTGTACGTAAACCTGTATCTAAAATATCCTAAAAATTTTACATTGGGTGGTGCTTAGTAATTTTTTTGTTCTATTTTTACGCTTCATACTTGCGAATATCCATTAAAAGCAAAAATTGTACCAATAGTAACAGTTTGTGCTATCAAAGTAGTGAAATTTTGACTAAACATTCAATAGGAATGCAAACTATTAACTTCATAAATGTTACAATAATCCTTTTGACTCTAGTGAAGAATGTAGCAGACCAGCTTTATTTAAAAGAAATGCAATTTTTTAAATATTTCGTTTATTTGTCATCGTCTTTTTCTTCTTACCCTCATAACCACTGTAAATTTATTTTCCTTACTGTATACTATACATGAAAAATTTTTACGTGGTTGGTGATAGGTGAAAATTCTTGTACTTATATAATATCGAAGTGAAAATTTAAAGACTATTAAACGTGAAAGTAGCAATCAAAGACCATATACAGAACCACGTAATATTTTTTTAAATTTTAATCTAACCATAACCATTTAAGATAAATTTTTATTTATCTTTTAGGTATCAACAGTGTAATAAAAATAAAATTTCAACTACGTTAGAAATATAAAAAGTATCATCTATTACACAAATACATCAGAACTGATTCAAATGATGAAGCACTAAATTTATCACCTATAATACAACGTTCATAGTTCATCATAAATTAAAAATATCTAAAAGTATAACTATGTACAACTGCTTATTATTAATTATTTAAGTGATCAATTTAATGTTCCAGCATTTGGAGCAACCCACACATTTGAGTATACATAAACATGCAAAGCGTCCAAGTATTGCATTGTGTGTTACATACATATATATATGACCAAAACGACTGTGGAGGAGCTATGAATTAAGATCAAAGATTGGGATGGAGGAAAGTAAGTCGTGTGTACTGTGCTATCCTCTGTCACAGGGCTACAGTTTTCGTGTATCCTGAATTATTCAAGAAGCAATCTTGCAGTAGAATTTCTAGGAGAAAGCCCCCTGTTGTGAATTACGAGACTAAAACTTCTTATTACTTGAAGCAGAGAAAACTTTATTTTTTTAACTAAGTATAATAATAAGTTTCCAGCGACATTCAACTTTGAAACGAGGAAAGAAACAAATGATTAAATTATGACACATTAAATGAATTTCAGTTTTTAAGTTAAATCAGTTTTCGTTTTCACGTTGCACGATATCTCTACGTTGTACAAAATTTTTGGAATTATACTTTATGGAATCGATCAAGTGTGAACTCGTAAAAAAAGCATATCGTGTGCTCTGTAATTTTACGTTTACAGGTGTATATGTGTTAATCGGTCGACTGAAACATCGCACCGTGTAAAAGAATATCATACGATCCAGCAACAGTTTTTGGAGTGACATACATGAGCGACACAGACAAAGAATGAGAGTAATTGACCCCATCCCCACCCCACGCTCCAAAAACATAGACAAAAGATGGATGCTCTGCTATGCTTGTTGTTCTCATTATTGTCGTCAGTCAAAATGTGGAGAGAAAGAGGAGGCACAAGCTGAATGTTTTGATTATCTGTTGTGTTTTTTGTTTGTATTTTTCTGTTTAAAACATGGACAATTCATAAAAGACAAAAACACATATTCACATAAAAAATACAACACATAGTAGTATACGAAACGTTAATGTTTGCACAGATGAATGCGAGGCGTTGGCCGGTAAGCGGCGAAAACAATCGTTCCGTAGAAAAGCTCACGCAACGCTTGCTGAAAAATCTATTATCATTTTTTTAGTCTTCATTAAAGCGTTAAGTGACAGTTTTTCTTCGGTACAGCGTTTTTTACGTATCCACACTAAATTGCAACATTAAAGTTCAACTACAACGCACACAAAAAATATATAGCAATTTCGTTCGAAAGAATTAATGACAAATAAGCAAATGCGAAGCACACGCTCGAGTAAGCTTGCGTTGGCAGAAAACATGCTTGATTTTTTATGCGTTTCCACAAACACGTTAAGGACGATTGAATTACAATTTACTTGGATAAAAAAGTCAAATAAAAAATAGGAAGTACAAATAAATACGTATAGTATAATCTTAAATATATGTCACTTAGGAAACAAACAAAAAGCATGTAGGATTTAATAGCTTTGCGTCACTATAATTGTATTGTTTGACGTGGCGTTTTAATTATGTAAATGCAGTTATTGTATTACTTTGCACACAAGTAAATTAAAATAAAAGCGAGGATTAAAAAGGTGAAATAATTAATTCCTATTAATTTTCTCTCTTTTTTCTCTCTCGTTTTTTTTAGTGATTTATTTTCTCAAGCAACAAAAATATCGTCAACCAATAAGGACATGTCAATAGACATAACATAGGCAAACACGAATATTAAGCTCTGAATAATAAGAGTACAAGAGTCTTGTATAAACGGTTTATTTTAATTTTAAAATATTACGATAAAAGAACAATTTAATTTGTTAGCGATTCTTAGCTAATAATAATTTAATTTCTTGGAAAATGACAGGTAATAAACATTATGTCATGAAGTATGTTGTACATCATGTTGGAAATTTTTTTTTCTAAAAAATTGTATTAAAACAGTACAAGAGAGAATCGAAAATTGAAAGGATCGTTTATAAATTCCAAATTATGCAAATTCATCTTTTTCTTTGAACGAAAAAAAAAAAAAAATTAAAACCACAAAACTAGGATACTTCTTCCTCAAAGTAAGCAAGTACTTTGATTTTGAATTTTTCTGATAAAAATGAGCCTTTAAATGTACCTGAAACACCGTCACTATGGCCCAGAGCAACGAGTCAAAGTTTTTTCTATCACACTCGACGTCAGAGCCACCAATCGCAGTTTCACAGAATTTGCAACCGAACAGGTTCATCCCGAGTATACTACAACACAACGAAACGTGCGATGTATTTCTTCATTCATTGGGGGTGTCCTTTTTTCGACTAAAATTAGTATAGTTAGAATGATAATTCATTGATCAAGCTGTTTTTTTTTCTGTTTAATCTTTTCAAAGCCATAGTACTGTCTGACGCAGTACGCTTTGGTCTGCCGTTAAAATTTTTCGTAAAACACCGGTATAATTTTATGAAAGGCACTAATTCGACGTTTTCAAATTTTCTATTTGTATTGTACTTCTAAAAATAATTATACGTAACCGCTTAAAGATTTTTTTTCGTAAGTTTGGATACTCCGTTTAGTCTTTCCATAATGACAGCTCGTGTAGCGAATGAACTTTATTCTATTGAACTTCGAAAAGAAGAAACCCCAGAAATATTTATTGTAAATAGAGACAATAATCAATCCCAAACGATATAAAAACTCTGATATAAACGTTGATAAAAAAAAAAAGTTCGATCAGTAAAGATCGACAACGATCATACAGCTAACTAAATAATCGCAAGCTCTACCAACAAGTAAATATATTCGATAGAACGTAAAAAGGTAAATAAGAGTCACAGATTTTTTACTGAATAAAATAATCAAACTTAGTACAAAATAAGAATAAAGCTAATTTTAAAAGTTATAAAAAAAAATGTTTCATCATACAAAAAAGTTATAGCCAGGTTAGGGATGAAAGTTCCCTTCAATGGTTCCACAGTGATAAACTTTATTCTATACATATGAACCCGACTGTAGCATTTTTAATCCAAAAATTATGTCTATTGTTATGTTTAGTACAAATTGTATCACGGACTTATGCATATAATGCTTGCAAGTTAAAATATATAAATAATCTGAAAAAATATGAAAACAAAAAGTAATTTCATCAGTAACTTTAAATATCACGAACACTTGCAAGCTCTTTGATATTGCTGACCGCGCCGAAGCATCATAATAAGCAATGCAAGGTGGTCTTGATCTTCTTAAGCAAAAACCTCTTACTTAAGTTTTTAAAAAATAGCATTCTTTTCTTTATTTTTTTTTCTCATTTTCTACTTAAATAAAGAAGATCAAATTTTCAATTTCAAACTATATCAAAGTTTGCAAGCTTATGAACCTTTTATACAGAAAACTTCTCATCTCACTTTTATAGAAGATTCAACAAATGGCCCAGCTGGATAAAATGGGTGAAGTATTCCTTTCTCAATTTTTACGGCCCAAGTATTCTCTCATAGAGTTATGACAAAAGTAATAAATCTTAAAATTTTTCCATTTTACTTTACACTAGTTTTTAAAAATATACTATATTGCTAAGAGTATTTGCTATCTTTTGAGAATCCACTGCATAAAAGTTTGTTAAAGTTACATAGTTGTTTTACAAAACGACAACGCAAATGTCAGGTCTCTCCTTGAAAGAAGAAATAAAAGAGCAAAAGCTCAAAAAGCACCTGCCACATATTAGCTTCGAGCTCTTCTTGATATTATTGTTATCATATTAATATTAATGAATGTTGATAAATAATAATAAAAATATTTCAGGTTTTCTGGATTCTACTACACTTATGTCTTACAAAAATTGACTTAAGTAAGAAAAAATTTCTTTAACGCTTGGTTATTGTATACAAGATGTTTATCAACCCTCTGCAAGAATTTTGAAAATTGATTTGTAATAGCTTAAACATCTTTAAAAAAAAAATTTACGTGTCTTAGTTATACCCTATATGATAGAACTCAGGCAGTAATAATTAAGGTAGGAACAGCTTTACTTATCTTATCTGTTTGGGCTCTTTTGAATAATTTATCGCTCAGTAAAAAAAATTGGTAAAGATATAATCAATAATTTAGAAGATTTATTAAAATAATTTTAAATCTTACCTCAAAAATAATATGTTTTTAAACTTAAGTACAACAATTAATGGACAGAGATAGAATATACTCGTAGTGATGTACGAATAATAGTATAATAGATCACTAAATATATAATAGATAATGTATGTAAGTAGCCCTACACGATCATAGATTTGTCGCCAGACACTTGTAATATTGAAAGCATCATGCAGACACGTATAAATATCTAGTTTAAATAGTAATGTAGTATAGTATACATAATTGTATCATGTATAGTTAATGCCTCAAGCTAAAACAAAATAGGGGAGCAAATGCAAAAGCATATTTATACTCGCAACCTGCATGTACTCCATTGTTCGTCATTATCCTGAACGTACCAACGCCATCATCATAGTAATTATGCCAATCGACGTACACCGGCATCGTCGTCCTAATCATTACGTATGTAATCGATTTTTTAATCCAATTCTTTTTTCATTTATTTTGACTTCGTGAAATTGCCCTCTTATTTTATACATAAATTTTTCCAATCCTCATCCAAAATCAGGGATTCTACTTTTTTTGGATCCTATAACATTTTTGTAAATGATAAATTTTCGCAACGACCGTTAACTCTTCCGACAACTGGAGAAAACTTCGAGTCCAACGTTTATACATTACGAATCCAACAAATGTTAAATCTCCATCTAACTTTTTTCGGTCGAGGTTTTGCGAGCTTTCAAGTCTCGCCTCCGCTTGCCTTTGTAAAAGCTCGCCCCTCAAGTTCATATCCGAACGCAAAAGGCTACGGCTTTGTGTTGGAAATAAAAGGCATTATTTCAAAGACTGCGCCACTCCCCAGCCCCTATTGTTTTCTATTTCACAAGTGGCTTTCATTATTCAGTCGAGTATTGTTTTACCTAAAACTCGATGCTACGAACGAAATCCTCCGTTAAACTATAACTCTATAACGTCGACGAAATTCAATCCTCGATACATCATAGTGTTCATGATCCAAACAAATAAGATTAGAACAGCAAGTATAAAGATTACAGCATAAAGAGAAAAAGAGATGGGAGAGAGAGAGTAGAGTTCGGTCTTACCTGAATATGAAGATAAAGAGCACTAAAAGAGAAAAAAAGACAGCCACGTTGTCCATCGTGCGGAGCATAACAAAGAGTTGCCTTCTGAGGTTCGGCATGAAGCGGACGAGCTTGAGTATCCTCAGTAGCCGGAATGTCCTGAGTACGCTAAGACCCGAGCTGCCGCTCCGGTCCTCCGCTACGGACTGGCAGAGTTCTACAATACTGGGGAGGTAAAATAGAATACTTAGTACTGGAAAAATAATTTTTGTACGCGTAAACTATGCGGACATGTACACTCGCGAACCTTAGGATAACAACGACGCCATCGAAGACGTTGAAGCCGTTGCTTATGTAGGAGAAGGGTCCCTCAGCTACGATCTTCAATAACATTTCAACGGCAAACACGGCAGAAAATACTATATTGCTTATCTCGACTATGACTGTCAGCTCCTCTGGCTAATACAATACAGTGGTAGAAAAAAAATCAATGATGTTCTCTACGACAGCTTCTGTAATACTTGTTAGTATACGAATTTTCTTTAAATTTATAGACGATTAATTATTTTGCTTCAATTTGTTTTGTGGATCCAATGTACATTTTTTGAAAGAGAAAAATTTGAAAAGTTACATTTGCATGATCAACCCAATCATTACATAGAGTTTATGTTTGAAACTGCAAGAGTTTATTCCCACACTGCTTCAAAGTTAAAGTCTTGATAATTGCAAGTTAAATTAATAAGTAGTTTGATCTAAAGCAAACGGAATTTAAGATTTATACGTTTACTTTAACAAAAATTTTTTGTAACAATTTAACCATGCCATTGGCACTATTTTCCTATTTGCTGAGTTTAATTTTATCTGCTAACAAATTACTAGACGATGTTAATGTATCAACAAAAAAAGAAAATTGCAAGAAAGAGCCCCCTCCAAAACGTACTTAAAAATCTAAAGAAAACCAAAGTGAACTACAGCAGTACATCGCCCACCTGATTATGATACTCGATGCCCATACTGAGTGTGTTGATGAGAATGGCCACGAGTATGCCCTGCTGGAAGTACTTGTGATTGACAAGCACCTTCGTCCATCGGCGCAAGCAGCGAGCGGTGCAAATGATACCGTTGAAGCAGGCCTTGATCGCTCGATGAGCCTGCGTCCGGCGCCACTTTGCGAGCCCCTTGACGTTGTCTTCGGGCCACTGCTGTTCGGCTTGCATGTCGCAACAACACGAGCAGACCTCCATCTCGGCCGGGTTGGTGGACATCCACTGTGCTCGGTGATCTTCTAGCGTTATGTGGCGCTCGGTTATGCCTATGTTTTTGGTTTCGAATCGGACAGAAAGTTTTTCCAAGGTTATTTAAATCGAGATTTTTTCCCGAGTTTGTGTGAGCGGTCCGTGTACCTAAATATTTAAAAACCCTCTTTCCTCTGGGAACATGATGGAATAATAATATTTCATCCATAAACACGTATTGAAAATTTAGTAGTCAACTATATAGTACTTTTTAATTTACATGTGAATATAATTTCAAAAAGATTTCATTTGTCACCAACTAAAACATCATCTGGCCTTTGAATTTAAAAATTAAATAATTTTATAAGAAAACTTATTAAAAGTGCTACGTTTTTTAATACAAGCACACTTTAATTTATTTTGAATTTAAGTATAATAAAATATGTTTAATAAATGACTCGACCCTTGTACGTATAAGATTAAGTAGTACAGCCAGGGTTTTGCCAGGCTCACATCAGACCTATGCACTAAGACGTTATTTAAGCATTCATTAACACTCGTGAGAAATGAACCATCATTCAAAACTTTATGTCTTGTTTAAAACCATACTGTATAGATATCCTGCTCTCGATTTAGTGAAATAAGTAGTATAGCCAGAGTTTGGTCAGACACGCCCTAAAACATTTTTAAAGCCTCCAGAAATCGTTAAACTCTTAGAAAAATTTAAACATCTTATAAAATATATCGTGTTTTACTTAAAATAATATCAACAGTTATGAATCATCAGTTTAAGTCAGTTTAAGATTCAATGTTAACATGGATTAATTTACTTATATATTAGATGGCCATTAAGAAACAAATAAAAGAACTTGAGCCAAATAAATAAAAGCACTTTGCACGCTCACCCCCTTCTCTTCGAAAAAAGTGCCGTAGGGACAAAAAAGCTCTTTTCGAAGCCAAGTAGTAGAGCTACAAAAAACGTTATTGGAAAATCGAGTACGAAGTGTTTTACTTTGCCCCCACGCACGACTGCTGACGTGTTATCGCCGATAATGAGCTTCGAGTGCGATTAATAGTTTAGTCGAGAGAGCACATACATACGTAATATACTCACATGGACCATTAGAGGCAGGGATAAAAGAGAGAGAGAGAGAGAGAGAAAGAGCTTACCTTTCGTGAGCGAGTTCAAAAAGGTGTCGAGGGCCAATTGGCCGGTGGGCAGGGCAGCGCTGAGAGCACCACTTAGAGCGAGAAGTTCTTGGCACGTCATAGCCTCGCCGCAGTTGAGCTCGGTCTGCAAGTGCAAACAAGGGGTAAAGGGGGAAAAAAAGAGACAGGTTAAGGTTTATCGGGTTGAGGAAAGAGAGCGAGGAACAGGACGTGGATTTACATAGTTAAATCTTGCTGCTTATCACTTCGAAGGTCAAATAGATTTTTCTTTGTACGTATAAGTTTTTGGGTGTCCGTTCAGGTGGTTCTGTTGGAGTAATTGTAATTGCAAATAGAAAAGAGAGAGAGAAAGAAAGAAAAATTTGTAAGAACAGTTTGTTTGTCTGAGAATTAGTAAGCCTTCTATTGCTGTATTAGCAGTGAGAGGAGTTTACTCTGGTATATAATTGAGTGCACTTTAAAGCCCCTCGCTTTGATTATGAGCTTCTACAAGCTGGTAATGTATAGAGCACAGAGTGATATAAATGGGTCTCTCTTAGGTAATTGATTTTCGCGGAGAGTATGCTGCACTCGTCTAGTCTACTACAATCTGTTATAGTCAAGTGATTTGATGGCTTACGTACTTTACGGCAGCTTTTGTATTTTTATAGACTATATAAAAAAAAGAATAATATGGATCAGACAAATAAGAGATTCTTTATTGACACAAGATCCATAGTTAAGTCTTACATTATTAGTTTAACAGTTAGTCAATTACACATTTGTTTATTATAAAACAATAAAATTCCTCTCTACATAACATCAGAGTCACAAACTTTTCAAACTTTAAATTTATTTATGATGTGTATGAATGTTGTTATTGAAATAGTGTTATGGTATTGAATTATGAGAACGGTGCATTTTTAACAGGCATTTAAATTCACAACAATGAGATGCAGACGCTCCACTCAAATTTTTGTGTACACATATTTATATATTTATACAAGTAAGTGAAATACCAGTAAGATAGTATCTTAAAAGCTCCGTTTTAGGAGCTTGGAAAAAAATTGTAATTTTTTACCCTCACAATTCTAGTGAAAGAATTCATTTTAATCAAGCTTATTTTTAAAACTTAGGATATAGCTGAGTCAAGAAATAAGACATCATCTATGGATTCCAAGAAGAACAAGAATCACTTCGTAATTATAAAAATGTAAAAATGTAAATTAATCATGAAAAATGCAAAATGATTTATTTAAATAATGAAAATGTACCAGTCGAAAATATTGTAATTAATTTTGAAGTTGATGTTTTGATTTTTGTTTTATTATACATGAAAAAATAATAAAATAAAAGCATATCATTTAAAAAAGCAATTTAAAATTGTAACATAATTTTAAAAACTTAAGACTTTTTACGCAGTCACACGAAAATTTAAATGGACCGTCTGGAAAATATTTCATCCTGCACTGAATACTTGTAGGGTATAAATTAACATAAAAAATACAATATAAAAAAAATTGAAACTTATAGGTGCAAAAAATTAAAATAGAAGATAAGAATTCTAAATGTAGTGTTGAACAACGTTAAAATTTTTTTCATTTTTATTGTCAACTGGCACAGTTTATTTGGTACAGTGCAGGTCTAATAACAAGACGTAATTTGATTTGAAATTTAAATATCAACCCAAATTAGATTCGTGACATAAATATTCGTATTAAATAAAATTACTAAAACCAGAAAGAATAATAATGACAAAAACTTGTTTTCAAGCATAATATTTAGGTTTAAAACTCTTTTTTTTCTCTTTTTATCAAATTTTGGTCCTAAACTTTAGTAGCTGTCTAAATTTTGATTAATTGAAAATACATTGACAAAATTTCCAGAATCTAAGTGATTAATTGCGTTGATTTATACTAACAAGTATTATCCCCGACCATCCCAAAAATAGAAAAAATAAATAAATAAATAAAAAAGTAAAAGTGCTTATGCCAAAAGCAAATGTACATGTTAACAAATACACACAAAGAGTATTATTTTGATGTAAAAAAAAAAAAATTGGCATTTGAAAACACCTAAAAAATATGAAGGACAGATAAAGAGCAAAACAAGAAAAAAATACACGTCGAAAGGGTTAAAAAAGTAATTTTTATTGGATCGGTCTAATAGACATACTTGAACATTATTAGGCTGGGGCGTTGACCATATATTGCCATCACCGGTCTGAGTCATTTTCTCACTGGAGCAAACGTTTCGCTCGCCTGCCATCCCGATCGAGCCGGGCAATGTATTAACGCTACTCCCATGAAGAAGCACGACATCGCTGAACATGACGCTACTGCGGCGCCGATGGTGCACGCTCGGCGGGCTCAAAAGCGCGTTGTGCGTCTGTGGCACAATAAAAGCATTTGGCTTTGTTTTTCTGTCGGAGTTGTGGTCATTTTTATCGTTTTTTTTTTTATCGCGTATTATTTTTTTTCGTTTAATTATTAATTCGTTCTTTGAAATAATTAAAGACAATAAGGAAAAGAAACAAAACTAAAAAGAAGTTCATGATGATACAAACAATAAAGGATGGTATTTACTAAAAATAGGTATACGTTTCTATGAATGTGAAAAAGTTTTTTTCGCTAACAAAACTGAACATCAAGCCAGATTTGATTTGAATGGGATAGTTTAAACATCATTGCATTTTCGGGATATAAAGTAACTATTAAAGTCATCACGAAAATTTGAGTAGATCGTGTAAACGATATGGAAGTATTACTTAATTCAGAAGAAAATCTATGTATAAAAATGATGTTTAATCAGGAATCTCTACAATTTTTATAAAATGTTTTATCCATTTTCTAAGTGGATAACTACTAACCAAGTGTAAATACATACTCGAAAGATAGTCTACGTAAATTTTTTAATCTACGATATAATCGTTTATTATCAACCAACCACACAATTTCCCCAAAAAAAAAAAATTTACGTGGTTGCAGATTATAGAAATCTTGATCTTGGAAATAATTTCTTATTAATTTTATGTTAAATTCCATCATTTGTGTTATAAGTCATGACCAATACATTAGACACCAAAACCAAAAAATATTGTAATACACATGGTATCGTAAATTATCGATCAATTAATTGTAATTTGATACTAAATTATAACATCCCATTATATAAGATTTAAAAAAAAAATTCCAGCATGATAAGAACAATATTTCAAATACCAAATGAGTTTATTTGAAGCCATGTTAAAAATGCGTATTAAATTTTTGTGTGTGTGAATATGAAATAATATTTTAATCTTTACATCCCTAAAACTAAATCCTCTCAACCATTAATTACATAATACCACTATAACTCGATACTTGATGCGAAATACAAGTATAGTTTTCAATTTAATCAAACGGGCATTAAACAAGTATTTACAATTTTTGAGCTTACAAAAAACTTGGATCTCTAATATATTGGTTCTGCCAAGACAGTTGCTCAGACAACCTAAAGAGGTTCTAAAAAAAAAATAATAATAATAATAATAGTAATAATAATAAACAAACCCCTGTGGCTGTAATGTTGTTCTCACTGCCTGCCAAAGCATTATGATGCATTTTGGAGCGCTGCGACAGCTCGGTCTCGGATACCTCGGGGCTGGCGTGCGGAGCTACCGCTAGTGATGGTGGTGCTGCTACGATGCTGCCACTACCCCCGCCTATAGCACTTGTTCTGGCAATGTCAGTGGTATGATTGCCATTGCTTCCATTGTTACTGATGGTCATGTGCTCGCCTTCCAGAGCAACAAGTAAACGTGGACACCTGCTGTGATGCAGTTTGCCGTCGGAACTGCGGACTGATCACATACACCGGGCACATAGGTGGTGTTAGAAACTTTAAACTTTTTTTCGTAATGGTTAACTATTTGTATATTATATATTCTATAAGAAGACTTTTTTTTGTGTAACGAACAGTTCGACAGAGTACATTCGGAAATTTTTCAAAGTTTCACTAACCTGGCAACCTTAAAGATCGTACGACGTTGGTTCGCATTTGATTGTGTGATTCCTTTAATAAATTTTGCTCTCGCTTCTGCTGCCTACTGTACAAAAACAGCCTCCATTTCTTCATGAGTCTTCGTTTTCCTCTTCTCCACAGGTGCGCTATGTATCTAAAAATTTACATTAAATAGCCAAGTTGGATAACTATTATTTCTGAAACTATCAAATAAGTGAGATGTGTTTTTCACTTTATAATGTATCTGCACTTCATCAGAATTCATGTTGAATGACCTGGTATTCATTTTTTTTCTAATTTTTCAGATATTTATGATATATTTAATATTGTGAGTTAGTAAATTACATTTTAAGTGGTTAAAAAGAACTCTTACTACATAAAATTTAATCCAAATAATATGTCTCGTATCGATTAAATCATAAATATACTCTGGCACATATGCATGTCAAATCAATTGAAAATCACTAAAAACAAAATAACGACTCACTTGATCATCTCGGCGTAACACGTAGTTGGCTCAGACGTGTTAGTCGACGAGGCGAGTGTGCTGGTGGAGTGAAATCGAGCCCGCTCCAATCGCATTCTCTCCATTTCGCGCTTCTTCGTCTCCGAAAATTGAGTCGCTATTACAACTAAGCAGAGGTTGATCATGAAAAAGGAACCGATCTGAAAAAAGGAAAAATTGCTTGTTTTTTGCTTCGATTTGCTTTTGTACATCCTAAGCAGCCTTTGTAGTCATGTTTGCAAGTGCATTTGGTAATAGAAAGGTACCTATAGATATTCTTTTGGAAAAATTTTCGAATCACATGAAAAACAAAAATAGTGGCATCCTTAATGCTTGTTGTTTACATTAGATGAAATTATGCGTAATTCCTTATAAGGCTTTATTCGTCATGATTTCTTGAACTTTCAAAACTGCCAGATATATCTACAAAAACAACACAAAAGTAAGTCTTTAACTTACGACGATCAGAAGGACAAAATAAATCCAGTCCCAGAACGAGTGGGCGTCTTGCACGTAATACATTATATCTGTCCAACCCTCCAGACTTATCACCTGTCCAAGACAAACAAAAAAAACACAAGCTTGTATTAGTGTCCAAACATATGTGTGTTTGCGTAGCTTTACACGAGTACAGGAGAAAAAAAAGCAAGGCTTTGAGAGTAAAAGCTAGGAAGAAAGAAGCCAAAGGCTGCTGCCACGCGAATAAGTCAAGAGAAGAGAGTCGCTGCAAAAAGAGGCGGAAATAATTGTTCTTAACCTTGGTCGTGTGTCAAGCGAGAGTAAAGGTGGGGTAGCTGGAGGAGAGGGAAAGCTGCAGACTTTAAAAGAAACTCCAAGAACTGGCTGATTTCAAGGGGATAAAAATAAAAGAAGGGAAGAAAAACACGGGTCAAGAAAGCAAGGAAGGGAACGTAGAGTTTGTGTATTTTTCTATCCACACACTTGCAGGTACTTACGAGAAATATGGCCACCCAAGCGAGGCCGATGTTGTCGAAAGATATCGTCCCCTGAAACGGGTTGTTGCCATGTCCCCTGCACTCCGAGTAATAGTAGTTCCAGTTGACGCACGTGTCGTTCGTGATAAACGTCGCGTTACTGTACGGCAGTGCTGTGTGATTGCACTCTGTGTTACCTAATTGATGAAGACAGGATCACGTTTATTAATTAATTTCAAGCGTTACTCAAACATGGTTTTTTTTGCAAAGCTTATGAATGTCATAATATTGTTGACTAATAAAAGCATACTTTAGATGTCACAGAATGTTATTCATCTAGATTTATTAGTAATTTTTTGTTTATATTTAAAAACTAGTAGGTTAAGTAAGCATGTCTTTGCCAAAAAATAATTACAGGATGTTTCAAAAATTTTATAGAAAAACTATATTAAAAGATTAAGCTTACGAAGATAAACCAAAGACAATAAATAATATTGTGGTTATGCTATAAGGCCTTACATTAAAGACATTCATTGATTTTTAATGTATTCTTTGAAAATTATGCATTTGATCACAAATTTAATAACAAGTTTGTTTAATTCTTTTCAAAAGGCTAATAGGTATAGTGTATTTTTTTCAAATATTTTTCAGCTGTCTGTATATATTAGATGGTATAAAGTAGATATTTTACTTGAAGACCAAAAATGAACAAGTTACTATATAATCAAAAAAAAAAAATCTTAGTAGGTTTAAATTGTACTTGCTCGTGTATGCATTAATGCTTAGCTGAATACTAAAGCGTTTTGCTATATACTTGCCGATCTTGAGTGGTGGCAAATTGCTGCAACTGTGCATACCATTGCCGTCCGGCTTCGAGCATATATAATCCTGACCCTGGTACTCAAAGTACTTTTCCAGATCACTGCAAGCGCAAAAATCAATGGGTATTAATGTGACGTGGCCTGCACCAAGGCCTCGTTCTTTTTTTATTCCTTTCTCTACCCTTTTTTTTTTTTTTTTTTTTTTTTGTGAAAAGTCAAAAGTCAATATTTGTGAATGTGACTCAGAACAACAACACACGGCACTTTTTGCACATATGTACATTTATATATATATATGACGAACAGAAAACCATATAATGCACTTGATATATATTTATATTGATATTTATATATTGACATGCTTCACGACAAGTGCGTCAACGTAAAGATGATAATACTTAATGATGATGATGGAAAAAATGATGCAGAATCGCATACACACACAACAGATGATTGTAAAATTTAATAATTAAACATATTTTATCTGGTTTTTATGTTTTGACACCGTAAAAGCATAATGAGGATATAGTATACTTTCTTTGTAAAGAAAAAATTCATTTTGTCGATCAAATGTATTTTGAACCAATAGTTGTTTTGGTAAATTTCAGAAAACAAAAAGATAAAATTAAAGTTACTAAATTGAGACTTGATCTACTGTCTGGTAAAATTTTCAGCAAATACTTTTTTGCTTATCTGAATAATTTGTGGTACTACTGCTTCACTAGAGTGTTGATCAAAGTAAAAAGTGCAACTACTCATAAATCGTCTATTTTTAACGCAAAACAAACTTTAAACTTCATATGACAGCAGTCAAAGTGGCATTTGCTGCATGCATTCATGTACATGTACTGACAAAATGTACTAGTTTAGATTGATATTGACAATCTTTAATCAGATGGTGTATTAAGCCTCAAAATAGTACCTTTTTATTTGAGTTTTGTAACATTCGCTGCAGTAACGTTGATGTTACCAAAAAGAAATTTTTCCATAAGAGAAATCTCTGTTTAAAGTGTTTGTAATTGCATTCCCTCAAGGCAGAAAAATTTCTTATTTAGTATTGCCAAGAATCCATACGTACTTACACAGTAAAAATTGTTCAATGGATCCGTTACTGTTTTAATTTTAAATTAAAAAATTCAACTGACTGTATGTGTGTAAGCGATACTTATTGCACAAGGTGCGTATAACAGTTTATGCGTGCGAAATAAAATGCAACATCTAAAAAAATGAACACTCCCGACTTTGTCACTGTCGAGCTTACGTCAATTCCTAATTTGGTTGTATTCTTTGAATATTTGCACTTTTTTTGACTCGATCGCTAACGTACAAATTATAAATTGATCTTTTGCAATTTTCCAAACATCTATTTGTCTATGTAACTTAATACTAATTGCTCTAAAAGGTGTAAGGTTGTAATATTTTTTCTTTAAAATTATGATGTTGGTAACATGTGAGAATACATTAGGAATTAAGAGACGAAATATAATCATCGCGTTTCACTTCATCAATCATATGCTATTCCACTCAGTCTAGCTAGCGTATGGTATATCCATTTTAAGTCTTTATAAGAGTTAATTCTGGTTCGGATCCGATGATAGCTTAATTATGATGGATTAGAGCTTTTTGTATTTGATTACAATGTATGAAATACTGTATGGAATACAACAATAAGCTGTAGATGTAGTAGTAGAAAATCTGAATCACACCGATTTGTTCAGAAACTCAAACAAATTTGTTTTTAATGTTAACATAAAAACTTTTATACGGTTAATAAAATTTATTCAATAGCAAAACACAAAAAAAAAAATTTTTTATTCTGTCACGTTTAATAAGTTTATCAATTGATTGATCGCTAATTGAACTTCCTATTCCTATTTCCTGAAAAATTATGTAATTTTTAGAAATATCTGTCAATTCCGATCAAAGCTTCAAAATAAAAAAAAAGTTATAATACCAGAAACCATGTATTTTCCATTGTTCATCCCAATACAATTTCTTTAAAAAACTATCACACCATCACACTGTGAAATTCCGTGTACATAATCTATATTCAAAACCCTTCAATGAACTTCACGATTTCTCACCCACCCAGTCAATTTTCCGGCTCAACTATTATCGAACGAAACATCGTAAATCCCTGCCCTACCTCCCTCTCTTTTTCACGCCTGTCTCGCACGTCTCACCTCCAAGGTATGCACGAAGGTGATTCCTCAGGCGCACATAATAACACACACCTTCGCACGTAATATAATCTCTTTCCCCCTTTTTTTATTCCTTCAGACTCTCAAGGGATATTAATCCTCTAGCTGCTCTACAGCACAACTGCACATCTATCTACGTACAACGTGCACAATGCTCTGCATCTATAAGTGTTTTACATACTCGCATTTACGCGCACTCGGTATACTTACTTAATCGCACACGTAGCCGCGTTAGAGCGCTAGCTACCGCTCGTCTCTCGTTTCTCGCACACAAAGGATTACAGGAAGACATGCGCTCACTAGTTCGTGCATTCGAGATGAGAGATGACTCTCTCTCGCTCTTTCTCTCTCGGATGAAGCGTATGGGTATGCAAATGCTCTCTTTTGCACGTCTTTGAAGTCGAGAAAGAGACAATTTATGCTGTGATCTGGCATGCATAACCCATACGTACACAGCCTGCAAGTCCAGGCGCTATCTGGAGCGATCAGGCGTTAACATTCGGTGTTCTTTTATTTTTCTATCTTGGCAAATTAAAAATCAAAAAGTGCAAATACCTATCATTCAAGAGCCACAATCGTTTCTCTCACAAAACTATTAACCATTTTATTTATAAGGGTATGAAAGATACATTCATATGTGCTATTGAAAAAATCCACCCATCTTTTTCAAAAGCACACTTCTCAGTTTCTGACAACTTGTACTATCTATGGCTAGAAAAAAAGTGTATTTATCAAACACCAATGGCTCCCAGTTGCAGCGTACTTGGAAGTCAGTGCTCTATTCCATTACGTGTATAACTCGTGAAAAGTCAAACGAAAAATCGAGTGCTCCCATGCTCTTTCACATAGTGTCGCATGACCAATTTGCATATTTGTCAACGGATATCACACGCCATAGTGCTGGTCTTCCGCAGTGGGCTAGCGACAGTGAGTGAAATCCATTGGATACACCTACATCGTGCGGTTGAAAATCAGTGTAGTGGCTTGCATCCTAAATATACGTATACACATCTAGATCATGACGCACTTGACTGTCGCGTGAATTTGCAAACTTCCCGACCGCATCCACTTTCGACCTCAACTACAGGGTATCTATTGTTTGTGCACGATAGTGAGGTAGTGACATTGTACGGGTGTAAATTGCGGTGCAGCTGAAATTTGCGCAATAATTTCGGACTAGTAGTAGAATATGGCGTCGAGGCTGAGCCACGTTGTGAAATTTGATGTTTTTTTTTCACACTGAACTCTTGAGCTTTAATAATTCAAAGAAAAGCCCTTTCATTTTGCTCATAATTAAAAACGATTAATATTACAAGAGCTCTACGTAGAAATCGAGAATTAACAAACGTAGCGCACAATCTGGTTTCGTTTATAAAATGTACAATACAATAGTCTTGCTTTGAAGTATCAAAAAGAAATACAAACTGCCCAATCCTGCACAGCTTTAATTTCGTTGAAATTTCGTTACCAGCCAAAGTTGAAATATCATTTGCGTTCTCGTTGAAAGTGTCTGACGTAAAAGCGACATCTACTACTGAAAAGCGAACGATACGTTGTTCAGCTTCGATGTGCCCGCACATTCATTTTGTAAATAATTTTTGTTCTCTTTCTCTCTTTTATTCTGTTTACCTTCCCTCGCAATGTGCGCATCCACCGTTTCCAGTAATTAGCATTCAAAAGTCCGGAAAAAGTACGGATCACGCGTGAAAAAACGTAAATAAATGTCAAAAGTCATTGACAAAAGTAAATTAATCTGATCGGACGTGCCTCCACTGCGTGTAAGCTTTAATTTATTTTGTTTTTTTAATCCTTACCCGTCACTACTACTTTGGCTTCTATTTTTTTTTTTTTCGTGGCCCCGCGATCGTACCGGTATTTCAGTGACGTGACTATACATGCATTAGTGACTATGTAAAAGACAATTGTTATGCGGATGGAAAATTATTTGAAACCAAGCCACTTTTCTAGAAATTGAATAATAAAAAAAGAAAAAAATCTATGTGACACTTTAACTTTGAACAAAGTTATTGTTTTTTACCAAAAAAATTCTTTATGAAAAAATTTCTTGTTAAGCCACGAAGTTTTAATTAGAAAATGACAAATTTGAAAATGTGTAACGAAAAGTACAGAAGAACGTTTATTGAATAAGGTCTGTTAAGCTGTAAATTGATTTTCAGATTCACTAAAATAATAAAGTTATAACTAAAGATCATAATCCCCACGAAACGCAAGTTCTTGCAGAAAAAATGTCTGGTAAACCACAATGCAGTGTATGGCAATATCAAAAAGATAAAAGAAATGGGTCACGTCAACTGTACAAAATGGTAACAATTTTTATTATCAAGGCGGAGTTATAAATACAAAAAAGGTTCAGAACAAAACCACTGAATGATAAAATTGTATTTTCCCCTTTTTCTAGCAGTTTGAGCTTCTTCACTATCATTCTCCGATTGAATGGAAATTTTTTCAAAAGATCTCTACGTACAAGTACACAATCCACTACATTCCTTCCCTTCTTTTTTTTACCCTCCCTAGATACTCTCACTCCGAAGGAGATATTGAAAATCCTGCACACGCGAATCCACCATAAGCCAGCGACGACGGCTGCCGGAGATATTAACCACAACATATACACACCGCGAGATTCCATGCATGACAAATCAACAGCAGCAGTGCAGGCAGATGAAAAGTTATTTCGCGCGTCTGATTCCACGGCTCTAATCCCCCGATTATCACTCACCCGAGCCACGGACACGTGGCTACGTGTGCGAGTACTATTACTATTATTGCTCGAGTATCATCCACGCATGATTTGCATATTCCAATAAAAGTGGCCCTGGTATCGCGTCCCACGACAATTTACCAGCCTGCTGCCAATGCTGTGAGTTTTTTTTCCTTTT